CCTTTTTAAGCAATAAAATGGATCAACACATGACAAAAAGTATTTTCCTAAGATCTGTGGGCAAGGTTGTACTGGCCGTGCTGTTTGGAAAAGTCTTCAGAGTAAGTCCTTTTGTTTGGCCTGTAAATAAAAAGATAAATGTTATATTTGAGCACCGTAAATAAACAATGCTATGATGTTTTGAGCATGCAGTACACCACGAGGTTAACAAGGTGCTCCCCTGCTGCTTGTTGTGACAGCCGAGTTTACATTTACCACATAAGAAGTTGACAAGTTGACACACACATACCAATCATTTCTTTCAAGATGTAAAGTTTAAGAGAGTAAGTACTGAATTGAACCAAACATCATTAACATACCTGGTCTCTGCTCAGTTTGGAGATGGAAGATTTTCTTCAGCGATGGATTCTCTTTCCCCCGCGGTCGTGTCTCTTTGTGACTCTTCTTCTGTTGCTAACTTCTGGATAAAAAGGATGGCCCTTTCCCAATATGCGTTCTCGTGGACTCGTGAAACGTCATCCGTCGTAACCCGAGTACTGTTCCAATTCTAAGGTCCGCATCTGGCCGAGAACGGTCATAATATCGTGACTCGCCCCGCCCATTTTACCGGGCATGCATCGAAGCAGGCTCGTATGGGACGCCGTTTGTAAAATGTCGCATACAAAGTTGTTAAATAATATAAATGTTAAATGTAAATGTTAAATACTATATCTAAATGTTAAATGTAAATCTAAATGTTAAATATAAAATGTAAATCTCAAATGTAAATCAAAATGTTAAATCATAATTTTAGGTAGGGGGCCACATACTGTCCACGTTGAAGTCATGCGCGGGAGGGGGAGCGGGGGTGTTCACGGGCGCGGATGGTCGCGCAACCCCCCCCTTGACACCCCTGCTCTATAACAAGAGCTAATCATCCGGACTTGCCAGCTTGTCTTGCGTGACTTACCTTAAATATTGTAATGTTCAGTCGTCAAGTCTGATATGAATAGTGAACATTTAACATTTAGATCTACATTTAACATTTAGATATAACGTTTAGATTTAACATTTAAATTTAGATTTAACATTTATATTATTTAATAACTTCGTGTTACTGCCAAACATTATCCTTGGAAAAGTTATTGCATGAATTTATACGAATTTCTCTCTAAATGTTTGAAAAAGTGACATATGAATATTGTTGTGCTTTTTTGTTCATATGATAATGCTAAATGTAGCAAAACTGCGTAGGATTTTAGAACGTGCAACATTTTACAAACGGCGCCCCATAGGCTCGTCCGTGCTTGTGAGAGCCAAATACTCCAGAATGCATTTCACCTCAGCAACAGGCAACAATGACAGAGGAAAATAGACACAACTGTAAGTCAAAGTTTATAAATACTACTATATTTGAGTGTCATTTTAGGACTTTTTCAGACGAGAAATTAGTTGTTTAAGCAACATTTTTACGGTCGTTTGTCAACATTCAGCCTTCGTAACAATTTGCTCCATGGCTGCCAGAGATGTGAGGTGTAGTTAACGGGACCGTCAGACCCCTCCAGCACCGGGCAGTCAGCCTCATCTCAGCCTGCAAAGAGCCGCTTGTTTTCAGCATGTCTTCTGTGAAATGCTCCGCTGGTTTTCACATCTCTGTAGCGGTTATACATGAGCTATAACTATTTTTGAACTAGTCTTCATAACTTTTAATGTGGTGACTGATGTTGTTCATCGGTAACGTTACGTCTGTTTGAGTTTAGATTCATAACTCCATGTGCAGTTATTTTCTATCATTGTGCATTCAAACTAACAATGTTGTAATTAAAGTACATGAGGAGACCGTCATCGAGATTCTAAGCAGCAGGACAGCAGCTTCAAAGAATCTCTGAAGCTCTGAATTGTAATAATAATAATTATAAATAAATATTTTCCACATGTAAATTATTGTATATTTCTCGGTAAGACATTAAATGTCTGGTCAGCTGCTTGCTTGCATATGCTTGAAATTGTTTCTATTTATTTCATTGTTTGAAAATGTAAATATAATTGTAGCATCATTGAGCCCTACATCATATTACATTACATTATATGTAATTTAGCTGACGGTTTTATTCAAAGCGACTTACAATAAGTGCATTTCAACCATAAGGATACAAACTGCAAAGAACAAGAAACAAGTGCAATTTCATTAAATAAGTCGATTTACAACTTGCTATAGATAAGAGCCATTATGAGTACAATGGTTCTACAAGTGATACAATTTGTTAGTCTTTTTATCATAGATACTAAATATTATGTTAATCAGCAATGATGTCATCTATCTAACTGTAGCCTCCATGATCACTGTTTATTAGATATTAAATACTATGTCAAGCACTAATGAGGTCACCTATCTTACAGAACGTAGCCTCATTGATCACTGTATCATAGATATAAAATACTATTACATTAATCACTGATGATGTAATTTCTCTTACGGTATGTACCCTCATTGATCCCTATATTATATACATAAATACTATGAGGTTAGTCAGTATTAATTTAGACACAGAAGAGGTTCAGGTACATCGCCAATTTAATTTATAGTGATGTTTGTGCAGTCAACTGTACGAGGACTACCACACTGATTATCGGCCTCTTGATGTTTGAGTAACAAGGAGACAAACGGTAGGTCTTTGTATGTGGAATGCAGCCCTATCCAGTAAAATATTGACTGTCAAATTGTTCTTACTGTATCCAACCTCCTTTTACTTTAAAAAACCATTAAAACGTTAATGCAGTGTGATGTTCCTGATTCCTGATGTAATACAAAAGCCCTGAATTAAATGTTCACCTCAGTAACGTTTTGCGTTTCTTTCAATATGAATACAAATTAGATATACACCAGTAAGTGTAATCCAGTAAGGTTTACTAACACCTAATATTGCACGGTGTACCGGTACTAGAAAAGGTACCGCTGTACCCTTACTTCATCACTACATCAAGCAAGTGCAACGCAAGACAGCAAATAAGTTAGTGAATAGTAATGTAAAATAACCTACAATTTCACTCATGTGGGGCTATATGATCATGAGGTCAGAATACACACAAAATTGTACCAAATAACCTGACGCTGCAATAGGCTACATGCTGGTGGAGCCTGAGGGTGGATCATGACCGAATTATTTTTATTTTTAGTTAAGGAAAAATAATTATTCCATAAATTAAGATAGAATATGAATGTGAGAATATCAAACTCTATATGCAAGTAAATTAAGCATTGTTTATCCAACAGACAGTCAAACAGATGCCAGGTAAAAAAGGGAACGCGTACAGAGGTTTTCTTTATTACTATCATAGATATATTCCAGATATAATATTCCAGTATCGTATTTGTGGTACCATAACTACCAGGTAAGGTATCAATGTTACTATTATCAAGCTTTTGCTTTACTTTTTGCTTTTAAAATACCTAACAGTCAAGAACCGAGTCTATTCTCGCGGGAGAGCAAGTCCGTTCTCGCAGTCATAGGTATTGAGAAAGGGCCGATGTCTATGCAGCGAATAGGGTTACAGATGACCTCCTTAGCGCCCATCTACCGTCGGGGAGTTTGAAAAGGAACAAACGTGTCTCAGCCCAAAATCAGATTTGAATGTATGGCGTGAGTTCGTGTGAAAACATGCAAGAGCTTGTGTCGCCGTACACATGAGAGTTGGCAGCTATGGATCAGTATTAGGTAATTAGTGCAGTCTGATACATGAGCATCTGTTACAGGCACCACATCCCGCACACACTAGCTAGCATAGACAAACGGTTTAAACTGCTCCCTGATATAAGCATGTGTCAGCTGGTAATTCTTCCCATGTATACATTTTTTTTTGCTAGTTATAATGTTCTAATCGTTGAATCTTGAATCTGACAGCAACTTGTCTTTTATTCACAAACTAGATAAATCATTTAATGCTCTGGCATTGGCATTTTATTGCAGTGTTGTTCATATAGTAGTACTTTTAAAATAAAAGTGCAGAATACACTACTTTTGCATTTATTGCCTAATTCAGCGCAGAACAATGTGATTAATCAAGATTCAATACAGAAAACCATGCAATTAATCGTGGTTAACAGCACTAATAGAAACAAACTCTGAAACTGCTGTTTGGCTCTCATCCATGAGTCGGTTAGGCCCTTAACCATGCATTCCAGGAGACAACGGAAAGGACAGTAACACATGCATGTTTGAAATGGGGAGACTGTAACCACAGCCGGGCACCAGACCTCACCTTTGACATTTTAACCTTTTAACATTGGACAAGGACCGTGTCAGGTGACCAAACCCCTAGATTTCATACTCAAATGCGGCAAAGAATAATTTTCTTTCCTGCGGGCTGCGGCAGATAGACACCACAACGTTGCGGTTTTCTTTTACAAACTTTCATAACTTCACTGGACAAACAAAGACTCTTGCTTTATTTTGTTTTTGTTTCATTTCACTTTTATATTATTTTCTTTGGCTCCAGTTGAGGACAGCGCTCTGCGTTCTCCCTCCCTGCATTTAGCTTTTGGCCGATACAATTGGGCACTGAAGAACCGAATAATCTTCGTAGTCTGTTTTCTAAGGAACTTGATTCATCACAAAAATCAGCTGGAAATTGCTGAAATAATGGCAAAAAAGACCGTTCGCCCCGCCGACTGACCACACCAAACAGTGTGCTCAGAGACTGTTTTTTTGGCAGACTAAGTTACTGTGTGTTATATAAACTTATGTCTTTTAATTGTTATTAAGTCATGACGTGGTACTCTATAGCCCGGATCAACGAGTCCGCTATTATTGCGCATGCATTGATGTATGTTTGATTTGTGTACCTGCAACTGTCGTCATATTGCCTGTGGATCTAATACAGTGCAAGGAGGTTAAAGTGCCAAAGTTATTACGCAAAAAGAGATCATTGCTGCTGGTTTATACTTCATGGTCAGAATAGCTTTTACTCCAGGAGAGCTCGTGAGATTTGTTTGTTACTTTCTTTCTCTCATTTTTAGCCATATTCTTTTGTTAACTAATGACCCGTAACCACATACACACAACTTTAGGTCCGACCATACTAATCCGTATTGATTAGAGATGTTGCACTCGTCTCCATTTCGAATCCCCGTGCGTCGGCCATTACTTACTTCCCTGCCCTCTTCTTCACCCTAGCGTGCAGCAATTGATGGCTTTTTCCTCTCTCTGTGGTTGAATCAACAGTTGTACACCTGCCATTCTTGTTCTTGCTCACCCCTTTGTGACAGTCATTACTACAGCTGTCCCTCTTTAGAATTTTTCCTTAGTTCCCCTCCCCACCTTTGTTCAATCTCTCTCTCACACACACACATTTGATTGTTTGTTTAGTTAGTAGGTTTGTAAAAGTGTTATAGGGATTGTTGGTGACAGATATAGTTGATCTTGATCGCTGTTATACTTTAATAAATGTTTTATCTGCGTTTACATGTGCATTTATATGGGGGCAACACCAGTAATTGTTGCCAGTGCTGGTCTTAAAACCTTCAAAATCCTTTACTCCTGAGGAGTGAATATCAATTATGAGATTTGATTCATAGTATTGGTTACTTTTAGATCAGGGTGGAACACGTTTATTTATTCTGTGAATTTTTTTCAGTGCTTATTAATAAATTCTATTGATGTCAATAATTTAGTTTCACACTTGCCATTAATCAAATACGACCCCTGCCGTTTCCAATTTTTAGTGAATGAAATTGAAATATAAAACCAGAATCCGTCACATTATATTCTCTAAAGTCATGACATGAATCTTTGATATTGACCTTCAGATCCCGGTAAACAACATCACTTGAATGGAGATACTCAAGCGCTGACACAATCTCAGCCCCGTAGAAGCGTGCTCGGTCCTCTGTAAACACCCGCTCCCGGGACAGGTGGAAGAACAGCTGAAAGGAGAAGGTCAGTGTGTGAAGGTGCCTGGAAAGCGGTTGACGTGGAGAGATTTAGTGCATCTCCATGGGTGTGTGAAGTCTTACCTCGCCGCCATTAGCATATTCCATTACAAAGCAAAGTCGATCGTTGGTTTGGAAAGCATACTTCAGTGTCTACAGGAAGGAAAGTAACACACATTACAGAAGGTGACTGGAAGGTAGAACATTAAAAACTCCCCATAAAAAGTGAGGGTCTCCCCTAAATACTGATCATTCACATTGTCTGTCAGAAAGCTCCTGCCATTATTTGCCTGTATTAGATTTTACCGGGATCTGAAGGTCAATATACATTGCAACACAGGAAAACAAAGTTCACCAAACCAAGTATTTTCTGAAAAAGCAAAAATCAAACGTTCAACAGTCTATTAAGCTGGACTTCCACTGCTTTCAGCTGAAGGCTAACAATCACAATGACTCTTGATGAGCCTCAGAGAGCTTTACAATTTGTACAACCCAAAAATATCCCCTGTCCCGTATCAGAAAAAGAAACTCCCCACCATATTAGTTTAACATGCTAACATTTACTAATTAGCACTAAATATGCAATCCCTGATGGGATTTGAAAGTATTTTATCAGTGTAGAATTGGGAAAACCACGATTTTGACATGAAGATGGGAATCTATAAAATGTCAGAAGATCCCGTTAAATTATTCCAACTAATCCTAGGGAGATGGGGATGTCCTCAGTAGAGCGCAAAGTCATTCAAAGAGAGCCATCAAATTGCTGCAATACACAACAATGTTATCATGTCTTGCTGCCTTTTAGCACCTTTAACACTATATATTCTATTGAACCTGTTCAATCAATTCTTGGGAATCCATTTTAATTTTGTTTATTTAATATATGATATACTTGTACTTGTTCTGTACCTTTGCTGCCTTCGCCATTGCTAAAGCGATTTTATCACAATCATTGTTTTTATATGGTTAAATATCCATTTATAATAATATGTATATGAATAAGACAATATGCTGGCTGCTTTATCCAAGGTAGTGCTTCATTCAGTTCCTTTAATAGTTCTTACCGTGAGGAAGGGGTGTCGAGTGTTTTGTAACACTCTACTCTCTGTAACTGTATGGGCCACCTCATCCTGCCAAAACACACATACTTGTCAGAAATACTGGAAACATACAGTATAAAAGCAATGCTTCTAGTTTGGTATGATCTCTTAATCTGAGGACATTTGTTCAAACTACTGGGGTACAAGAAAGTAACTGGTAAAAAGAGAAGCCTCTTATATTCTACCACTCTCCCTAAAGCCATCATTTTCAGTCTAACAACCAGGAGTTGTACATGCATTAAAAACCTAAAAATAACAAATGTGGGAGAGGTGGAACCCATGAACAATCTTAAAAGTACCACACCCTTCACTGGAGAACTTAATTAACACCTAACTAGAGAAGCCGCCTGCTGTTACGAGCTCACCTTACTACATGTCATTTAGCTGACGCTTCTATCCAAAGCGACTCATTTTTAACCCATGGTTTTTACATTTAGCTTGGGGAGCAGTTAGGGTTTAGGTGTCTTGCTCAGGGACACTTCGACATGGAGCATCCAGGGTTTGAACAGCCAACCTTGCGGTTCCTGGCACACCCGCTCTATTCCATGCGCCACTGTTGCCTCACAACAAACAAGAACAGGCAGGCCTCCCTCAATGTTCAAGAGGGTCATGTTTTGAATTACAAAAGTAAAATGTGTTGTCATGTTGTCTCATTAAAGTGTCTCTTAATGTGTTACAGGTGTTGCACATCTGTCAATGTACATATGCCAAATAAGGTGGAGAGATGTCTTATTTTGTTTCTATTAAATTAAATTAAATATGAACTATTTTTTCTGCAATGAATTATACAGTACATCAAATCTAATAAATGTGTGTGAGATGATTGATGAGAAACTTTAAATGGAGTACTCATGTTCATCATAAAAAAAACATTCCTCTGGGAATTATTGTATGTCGATTTATTTTGAGATCAGACATCTTCACGAGCGGTCACACCTCCTGCTAAGTCATTGCCTTCCCGGTCTCTCTGCAGGACTTATTTGTTCGTCGTTGTGGCGCAGGGGTTAGAGAAGGTGTGCTGGGTTAGCACAAGGTTGTTGGTTCGATTCCAGGCTGCCCCATGTTCCATGTCGAAGTGTCCCTGAGCAAGTCACCTAACCCCTAATTGCTCCCCTGGCAAAAATGTGAAAAAGCCATGGGTTTAAAGTGTAATGTAAGTCGCTTTGGATAAAAGCGTCTGCTAAATGACCTGTAATGTAATGTAATGTTCGATCACAAACTTACGTGAAGCAGGTACTTCTTTATATCAACCCAGAGGATACTAAACAGCCTGCAATGGAATTAATCCATGCAGTGACAAATGGTAGTTTTAGGAACAGGCCCACCTTTCTCACTCAGTGGCAAGTTGACTTTCCAGTCTGACATAATATAACATAATTGCATAATATTACCATTCTGGAAACCTGATCATCAGTACTCTGCTGCCATCTAGTGTCTAAAGATGCCTGTCCAGATTGGGGCCAATTCCCAGGATCATGCAAATAACTATACCATAAATATTGAGTTTTTTCGCTTTGGAACTTTAAAAAAAATTCAATGTAATCAAATTCATGTGGAATGATCCTGGGTTAGGGTGAGTTCGGTCACACATCCAAGTAGAGGCTAGTCACTATCAGAAGCAGGTTAATGGAAAGTCAAGCAACCTGGCCTTTTAATATGCAACCCAATTGTATCTTATTTCCTGAACTTCCACTTTCCAAAATAACACTGTTGATAACACTGTTGTGTTGTCTACATTTACCTGATGTAATTATTAACTGTGACTTAGCCAATGATGCATTATAAATTATTCAACTATGCAGCATCAGATTAGAATTAGAGCTCCACTTAATAAAATGGGAGTACATTTCGCTGATAAATCCTGTTTAACTCATGGCAGCACATAATAATAATAATCCTTCATTATGAGGAATGAATATGGGACTGTCACCCTCAAAATTATCTTGTACCATCACTCTAAATAACAAAATTCTGGGGAGTTTGCATAATACAAGAATACAGCATTTGGAAGATTGCTTTGAAAAACGACTCTTCTTGTCTTGCAAACAACTGAAAAAAATGTGTCAGTTATCCAGTAGAACTTTATTTTCTTAGCTGTCGTTAAAATCTAATTTGGGTCCCTGGAATGACTATCATAACTATGAATGTTGAATGAAGGCCCAAAGGCAGGACTTCACAGATCCAGGATGAGATGGAAGTCAGACTTGAATGTAACAATTAATGAGCAACTCTGGTCTGACTTATGTCAAAACAATTATGTCAGCGACAGTTAATGCCTGTTACATACTTGTTCACTATGATTTTCATCATCAACTGTACCTCACCCCACAGAAGCTACATAAATCAAAACCTGAATTGTCGGAAATGTGTGGTGTAGAGGTTAGGTCCTTCTTACACTATACCTGGCACAAAAGATGGAACTTTGTGGAAGATTTCAGGGTTTACATTTTTGTTAGACCCTGAGCTGTGCCTACTGGACATTTTTTTCTGGACATAGTTTCGTGTTTGGCCAGAAAATGTATATGGAAGTCTTGGCAAGTCTGACTCCCTTTTTTAATCAACATTAGCTATTACCCAGTTGAGAACTTATATTAAAAAGCCCCGAATGCCCAAAACGTTGGGGAATGGGGTGCAGTCTGGCCATGACGTTTTTTTCCAAGGAAGGGCAACAATTTATCCACAAAATTTTACCTTAAGAATAGTATTCCTCCCATACTGAAGACAAACATAACTATTGAACTCCATTTTGTGAATAGAAGTAACATACTTGGGAATTACACTGCATCAGTATCTTGCTCATTAGAGGAAGGTATGGACACACCGAGTTACCTTGGCTATGATGACCTCTTTGCGTAGTATTTTCATTGCATAATGAACTCCGGTGGACCGCTCTTTGACCAGAATCACCTTGCCGAATGTCCCCTTCCCAAGAAGTTTCAGGTACTCAAAGTCACTCATTGTCTGTAATGTGTAAACAGTCAAGGTATGAGACTTTATAACGGATCATATTTAAAAATTATTCAGTTGACATATGCAACCTAGACAAAAATAGCCCACAAGAGATCTTTACAAAGAGATAGACATTTCTCTTCTACATTCACAGTCGTGTAGTTGAGTTTTTTACAACTCTTTAATCTAAACTTGCATGAAATTGAAATGTGTCTGCACAGTTAAAAGTTAGTCCTAGTTGACTGTACTTGTATAGCGCTTTACTAGTCTTCTGACCACTCAAAGTGCTTTGACACTTTATGTCATCATTCACCCATTTAAAGCCATTCACACTCTGATGACAGCAGCTACCATACAAAGTGCCACCTGAACATCAGTAACTAACATTCACACACTGTAGTCATAGCTACAGGAGCAATGTTGGGGTTAAGTGTCTTGCCCAACGACCCATAAACATGCAGGTTAGCCGGGCCTGGGATCGAACCGCCAATCCTGTTTGGAGGACTGTGCAAAGTTACGGCCACAATAATCTCAAAGATTAGCACGTTAACTTTGATAGCCCTTAGAAAAATACATTGACAACCGCAATGTGATGGTCTCTGTGGTAGTGATGACAATCAACAGCTTAATCTGCAGGTCTACTCAGATCATTTTGTGAAATAAACTTGCAAGTTGTTTAAATCTGATAAATCCACTCTTTAAGATTAACATTTTTATTAGTATTGTATAAATCTGTTTGCAAGATAACAAAATATTTCAGGTGTGGAGGTGGAATTCTCAATAAGGAACTATATTAACAAATCATACAGTAGAAGACATTGTCAAACAAAATAGTATAAAATAATAATAGTGTTGCCCTCGCAAGGAAAATACTAAATAGTACCATAACATTTTTCTATTCAAACAGTATTCTGAAATTGGGCAAAACCTGGAGATTGTCTCACCACTTTGGAGCGATTCTTGGACATGGACACCTCCATCTCCTCCAGGCTGCTTTTGTTGGGTGAGCCGAACATATCCATCGGTTCCTCTTCCTCCTGTTCCCTTATCTTGAGACCATTTGCCACTGACTGAATGGCTCGCATCCACTCCTCTCTGACAGGCATTGTCCCAAATATTATTATGCATTGTATCAAAAAATTCAGGGGGTTTAAGGGAGTCTTTGATACACACTGAACCATATGGCGCTCCTCTGTGTGACGCCAGCATCACAGGAGCAAAGGAGGCATGAAACTTAATACAACAATGATAACAACTAGCGGGACGTTGTTGAATTGAAGTATTTTGCCTGTCGTAGTGTCAATGACTACTTCCATTACAGAAGGTTACAGAAAATGAGGGTTTGGGGCACACAAATAACTTGTCATCAAAACTTCACACCTTTCTCTATGCCTGCTGATCCTTTGCACACGGACAGGGGCTGTCCGACTTCAGCTGGCTTAGTGTTGGCAAATCCTTACCTTTCATACAGAACAGCAATGTGGAACATTCCACAATAGTTTAGCAAAATACTAGGAGGAATACTATCCTGCCCTCTGGGAGGCGCTACAGGGTGCTCCGTTCCCGGACCAGCAGGTTCAGGAACAGCTTCATCCCTGCGGCTGTCACTCTATTGAACTCTGCCCCCCCTGAACTCTGAACTCTGCCCCCCAACCCCCCACACACACACATCTCCCTCAGTGACTGTACTTCCCCCCTCCACCCTGGCGTGACTGCCACACACCTTCCTCCAGCCACTGAACATTTGCACTGTTATTGTATATCCATTTCTTACTGTACATATCTATTTATTCACTTATTACACTTTACGTATGCACATACTCTGCACTTTTTGCTATTTTGCACTTCTGGGTGGATGTTAAACTGCATTTCGTTGCCTCAGTACTTGTACCCTGTGCAATGACAATAAAGTTGAATCTAAATCTAAATTATTAACATCATAACAGTTGACCCTGTTCTTACCTCTCCTCATTGCTGTCCACATGAAATGTACGTTCAATAACAGTGGTCCACTGTAGGCAACGAATGACAAATGTGTTGGGCCGGGGTCTTTCAGTCTTCATTAGTTGACACTCTGTGAAAAAACAATGCAGTGATCGTTTCTTTAGTTTGTAGGTGTAAGTGTTGATTGATAGGGGTGTGTTTTATATGTATGTCAGGTGAGGTCCAATCTAAAGGTGGTTTTGTTTTAAAATGTTAAATAACTTTGATGCGTTGTGTTGATAAAAGACAAACATAAATGTTTTCTGCAAGCTACTGTAGAAGTCAAACCATGGGGTTGAAGAGAAGAAAGCACTAGTTATATTGATGTTTTAGCATTTGGAGGACTGACCTGCTACTGAGAAGTTGTTGAGTGGTGGTGAGGTCTGTTCGCTTAGATCAGGCTTCTCCTTGTAGCCAATGAAGGAACCGTTACTCTTCAGCATGAAATACCTCGGCCTCCATGTTTTTATGTATTCACCTGAATCAAGTGCATCCAATAAATAGGCTTATCAGTGGCATTTTTAGATACTTTAGTTACTCTCTCCATCTGATTGAACTAACGGGTTTCAATTTAGAACACTTGAATTGTGTTTTGCCTCGAAATATTACCAAGGGAAGACTTTACTGACCCTCATGCTACTTACCTCGTTTGTGAAGCCACCCCTCTCTGACTATATTTACTTCATTCATGGTAAAGAGATGGGTTTTATAGAGGGTCAGGAACAGGAGGTCTTTTGAGGGTAAAAATGGATTTCTCTCAGGGACGTACAAATCTCAGTTGTCAAATCTTAACCGCACCTGCTGATTGGAATAAATAACACAAAGAAAATAAACTTAAACACCTAAAAAACACACATCAAAAACAGAAAAATGGAGTAGTAGCCAGTCAACAGCAGTTAGAGGTAAATGTACTTCAGTTTATTTGAGATACTTTTTTTTTAAGGCTAAACTTCAAAGTTAAACAAATCTTAAACACAAAACTATATCAAGTACAAACACATCAGCACTGGTATGACTATACCAAGTGGTCCAGAAAGAAGCTTAAAATCTGTCAAATATTTCAGTACCCAAAACAAAGAGCTTAGTTTTAACTTTATACAACGAAGTAATTTGGAAGACCTGCACAGGTCCCTTTTTTACAGGGAAAGCTATACTATATAATGATGGTAAAACAGGATATCATTAGCAGTAGGGCTGTAAATAACCAAAGATGACTAAAGTAATCAAGACTAACTAATACTATGGTTCCAATTCATTAATTGTTCTGAAACAGATCAGCTGTGGGTCTAAGTGTACCATCAATGTAATAACTGTAGATGGAAAGCTGCTAACCAGTGAATCAGATGAGGCAGGTTTTTGTAATCAGGACGAAACAAGTCGAGATCTCCCCGTCTTAAACAGACTGATCTCTCATCGATCACCCAATCCCAAACAGACACATTTAAACGGGAATATCTTTTAGTTCATCAACCAAAACAGCAATGTTTAGCAATTCTACATTATCAAGGCTGCCAGTTAACTTTAACGTGAGTGAGCTAGCATTTTAACACTGACAGCTGCTAGCTGAATGCTGACAGTGATAAATTAACTTAAAGGAACGATTACGTTGAGAAATGGGAATCTAACTAATGATCAAACAAACATCTTTTGATCTATTAGCTGTGCACCTGAAATATCGACACATCGGACACAAAGGTAATTTCACGCTAAATGTCAAAGTTAGAAGGCACTTTGCTAACGTTGATTTACGTTAAAGCTTTGTGTCACATATTTAGCTTGTGTTTACGAGACACTTATACTTAGATACGGTGACGTTACTTGCGGTTAACGCCACCGTACTGTTATCAACAAATCTCTATTACATTGCATATGTGTTAATGTAGGTGAACGTAACTGTTTTTTCCTTTCGGGGTACGTTAACGTTAGTCATTCTTCTTGGTTACAGTTACAGGCACTTCAGTAACGTTAGATCACAAAATTCAATATATTTGACATTTAATGATATAACAGTAGGATTAAGCGCACATTCACTGACTTTTTCCCTCGTTCCTTTAGTTTAACGTTGAATGCGGTTCGGACAGGCTAGATCCAGAGCAGGCCGTCCACCCATGGAAACGGGAGTGAATCTTCTTCTTCTAGGCGTTAAAGAAAATGGTGGTTGATATTCAGGCACACACTGCCCCCTGTAGACAAGACGATGCATATAAATCTCAAAATAGCGTACCTTTTGATAGTTCATTTTACCGTTTAAAGTAAACGACAAAACGAAAATACTGAAATACCATCGTTTTTCGTTTTAAACCCCAAAAGAAACAAATACTTTTATTTTAACGCCGTAAATACAATTTTTATAGACAGTATTACGGTGGCCCTGAAGTGCAAAACACAACAGCAAATAGGAAAGCACCGAAATTAACTTCTTACGGAAAGGGTAGGGCCTTATAGCAGAGAATGGACCCTTCTGGTTGGACAGACGGACTTGTCTGTCTTTTAACTGTCTTAATCCGAAGCCTTTCGCCGGCGACGGTAAGTGACATGGAGGATTCCAATTACTGTGACTTAACTATTTGCACAATCGGATTCTGAAAGCTGAGAAATGCCGCTTCCTAGATATTCTGTCAATCAATAAATCAGTGATGAGGGGGGGAAGTGAGCGCAGCAGCAGAAAGTCAAGGAGAGATGGCAATGTTTTACGAGTCTTAAAGGTGTCCTACTAGTGTTTCACCATTGTTTTACAGGTTTTTGTTGTTCAATTTTATTTAGGTGTTGTAAATGAAAATAAATAAAAAGGGGGGGGGGGGGGGGGTCGCTACGGCCGACACGGCTCGGGGACCGGAGTATGATTCCTTGGCGTGAGGAATTGGATGTGTGGCGGGAGTGCATGACAAGAGACCGAAATGCGTGACACTTGAGAGCCCTGTATCATTTCCTGTTAAAAGACAGACAGTCTGTCCAATCAGAAGGGTCTGTTTCCTTCTATAAGGCCCTACCCTTTCCGTAAGTTAATTTCGTTGTGTTTTCCTAATTGCCGTTGTGTTTTCCTATTTGCCGTTGTGCTATTTGTCGCTGTGTTTTGCACTTCAGGGCAACCGTACAAAATTGGCTTCTGTCTATAAAACGAAATATGAAGCTCAACAGCTAAACCGGAAGTACGTACATTTTCACAGTAAAGGTCAACGCAGTGTGTATGCTACAAGTTTGTCAATGATGCCAGGGTAACATCAGAAAAAACGTTAATTAATGAATATAAATAAATTAAACGGGCCAATGGGACTATGTTAGCAATAGTGGTTGACACGCCGATTTGTTTTCATTCATACATGTAAACAGCAAAACTCATTAATCGGTGCACTGTTTTATAACGTTAGTTGACAATTTTTGTTTAATCAGTTGTTTGTATGCGCAGACTTGTTGCTGTTGGCACTGATTTTTATTTTCCACTTTTGAGCTGTTCAACATCCCTATCAGTAGGTGGGATGAATATGTGTATTTAAACCATAGATTGAATTATGTTTAACTGTATAAGATAAAGAAGATAATATTCTTATTTAATTTAATTTAGGGATATATTCTTCTCCTCCGGAGCATGGTATATTCAAATACGTGATCAGGAATGGCGTGTTCAGGACTTGTTATTTTTCTATTGCATAAAATACAAGCTATATCCCGCATGTCGATGGGTTCTTGGGCAAGACACTTAACCCAACATTGCTCCTGTAGCTGCGACTACAGTGTGTGAATGTTAGTTACTGATGTACAGGTGTCACTGTGTATGGTTCTACTGTCATCAGTGTATGGATGGATGTGAATGATGACATGTAGTGTTAAAGCGCTTTGAGTGGTCAGAAGACTAGAAAAGCGCTATACAAGTACAGTCCATTTACCATTTACGTCGTTCTCCTTCAGAGTGATGCTGCTTCCTCCTGCTCCATAAACCACAACTAAATGGTACATTTATTTTATAATCATACCACAAAATAAAAGGAGAAAAGAAAGATAAGATATTCCTTTTATTAGTCCAAAATGGGGAAATTCACAGGATCGCGGCAGCAAAGTGGACAGTGCAGTGACGTGGGGTGATGTCAGTGCCGTTTGTTGTTTAGGCTAACACGTCCAAACAGTAAACGTTACACACAAGCGCAGAACTAAGACACACACACACACACGTGCTATTAAATGTAAATATAAATGTTAAATGTCAAAATATAAATGTTACAGCAAGTTTCTCCCACGCCGTTTCTCTGTCTTTTGCTGCAAAATGTTATTCTAATTACGGGTTCATACTTGTACGTTTGCATTAATATTTCCAGCTCAATAGGGGTGAAGTATGCCGACCGATTGTTTGTAGTTGTTGGTAAATCGCAGTATCATGGCTCCATTCATGCTGCCTTCATACTGTGGTGGTGCACGCGCTCAACTCTGAAGCCTAGTTTATGCTTCTGCATTTTCAGAGAGACGCAAGGACACACAGACGAAAAGCAGCAGTGGCGATGCACGGGGCAATAAAGTCTATGATAAATAAATAAACCAACAACTTCCACACACGTGACTCTTTAGGTCGTCTTAGAGGTTATGCCAGTAATCATCTACATTACGTATCAAACATAGACCAATTAAATATTAACAAAATGACTTGGCACTTGTATGCCTAGAACAAAAAGTTACATTGTGTGTAAAAAAACATGCTCTAAGCAGAATTGTATAGCCTATTAGATGAACACAAATGGGATCAAGCCTTCCTTTCATTCAATATTCATGAATTGTACCCATAACACTTTTGACTCCTTAGGACAGTAGGCAGTTAATAAAACAATAGGCTACATTTAATACATCCAGTTCCTTACAAAAAGACAACTCTTTGGATCTCTCTGGACCTAGTTTTTGAAATGGTCATTTGACCCTTCTTAATACAGTGATGTTTATTTGTTTAATGACTACTCGTACTCTACGCGTAAGACAGAATGATGGATAATAATATAGCACTCATGACTCACATTGGTTCTTTAGAAGATGCCTCATTATTTTCTTTGACAGTTAGAACTTCATCTTCGTCATCATCGTAGTCGTTATCAATGACAATAGGTGCATACCGGTCTGTGTAGTTGCTGCAAAAAGGTATCAAGAAAATATGTACACAACATATCATGAAACATACCGTGTGTCTTCTTATCAGTAATCAAGAGTGTTAAAGGGGACCGATTTCACCTTGTCATAGTTGAATAACAACAGTTGGGTGGGTAAAATGGACGTACAGTGAACCTTGATACTTATTTCCTATGTAAATCTCACAACCTGAAACTGCAGCTGTAAAACAATCAGTTTTGAAAAGGCTGAATTTTGACATCACAAATGTAGCATCGCGTTTGTCACCCCCCAACCTGTACATACAGACCAGCCCTCTGGTGTTCTGACCCAGGATCTCAGACACTAGTTTAGCTGCGCACTGCTTTGTGTACTTCCACAGGAATTACAAAGGAGCTAGTTTGGAAGTTTTTAAAAGGATATTGAAAATGGACCCGGGCCATTTTCAGCCCAACCAATGTTACATACCTGGAGACCTTAAAGAACAGTGTGAAATACCCCCAAAACCCAGTCAATGACCCCTTTAATTTTCAATATACTAGACTATTGAAAACAAAAACTCCAAAATCAAACCTCTAATATGTTCTCACCATTCCAGGACATCTGGAGGTACTTGGACGAATATCCTCTGTATTCGTCTGTATTGGGCAGGTTCACATGGCTGTAGTAAAGCATTAAAAAGACACTGGGGATGATCAGAACTCAACACAACAAAAGACAACATTGTTATTAAAAAACACACCTAAATATGCTTTACATAGCACTCACTAGCGTGTTAGCTAGGTCCTACGTTGTGAGGGGTCTTTTTATGACAATCTCTGTGTCAGAGTCAGAAATGACACTTCTCCAACTGCAAAAACTGCAAAAAAGAAACAATTAAAGGTCGCTTGATTGGTGTCATTCAAAGACAAACATTTAAAAAGAAGTTAACTCCAGAAGATGGTGATGAATGGGAAGCTGGTTTGAGACACTGCACCAGAAACAGTTGGTTTTGGCACATGGTCTGACTATGAGGGGAAAACGTTCAACTCCAACTTGCAACTCCTTGCAGTAATTTTAAGATGAATGCAGAAAACACCATGGGGAACTATTTTTAAACTTATTTATGTATTTATCTCTCAGCATTGAGACAAAAGTGAAACATTTAGCCACATAAATAAATGGCTATGGCAAAACATGACAACTTATCTTCTTCAAAGTCCTTCTTTGGGCAGATAAAAATTGTGATCCTTGAATATGGTTTGCCTAATTCTGCTTTATATTCTTCTAGAATAAAAGGTCTTTGTGTCCCAGGGATATTGATGACTTCAGATTCATCTGGATACAGAATGATGGAGGGTCCTTCATCCAGGTCTTGGTTAAAGTCCCTCATTTTCTTGGAAGACTTTGAGCGGTGACGTCAGTCAGTTGATAAGCGAATGGTTTTCCCACGTACTGGCTTTAAAACACCCTTCTGTCATCATTAAGATTAATCTGCAATAGAAAAAACACAAACTGGTAAGGAGGGTCTTCATCTGGGTTAAAAAACAGTGCTAAATTTAAAAGTGGTTGTTTCTCTGTTGGCCAATGTTACACATAGACCCCAAAGTCACTCTAATCCTTCCTTCAATTTATAGTAAACAGCAGGTTTGGAAGGCACTTTTGTAATGAAATAAATCAGGTCAGCTAACGGGTACTATTTTATTTTAATGCATTTCCAAAGAACACACAAATTAATGTTCATGATCAGAAATCAGTTGAAAAGTCAAATATGTCCAATAGATAAACTCAGGGAATTCTATGTTGTTTTTTGAGTGAATTGACTACAATACAGACATGGCAGGGGAAACCCACCATTACCTTCAAATAAGGTTACGTTATAACTTACCTGAAGTTGGTACTCTAAAGGTTCCAGACTTTCTCCAAGTCTCTGGCCACAACCACTGCAAAAAACGTTTGACTATAATTACGACAAAACATAAATTTTTTCGCCGTATTTTGGCGCCGAATGAAGGTCTAGCAAGCGAGCGAGTACTCATTTCCTATTGATCGAGTTTGAGACCCCTGTCTTAAAGGCTTATTAACAGCACACACTCCGTTGTTTCATATTTATGACGTTTTAAGTGAAATATTAAATACATTAAAGTCACATGATGTTTCATCCACTTTTTAGCTGGTTGAAAAGACGTTGAAATGAGGTCTTAGAGGTTCAGACCTCATTTCAACCTGATTTCAACGTTAAAATTACGTCTTGTGCTCACTGGGAGGGGGAAGCAGCCGGTGGCTGAAGGAGCTGTAAAGAGCAGCCAGGGCATCATGCATGTGGTGGGAAGCGTTGTCCATCAAGGATGATAGTTTAGCCATAATCCTCCTGTCTCTCATTGCCCCCACTGTATCCAAAGGACTCTCCAAGACACACTGCTGAAATTGTTGAAAGTCTTTTTCTGTCCACTGTCAGGATGCTGGTGCTCCACACTGTAAAACAAGTCAGTTAAACTTGCAAATGAAAGTTTACCTGCTGCCTTGGAAATGTAACTGAACTCAACATGAAGACTGCCTTTGATTTAACTCAGAAATGTGAGGTTGTAGTTATTATTAGGTTGTAGTCATTGTATATTTCAAGGAATTACTATTAGGGTCCTCGCTACGACTAGTGGTAGAGGAACCTATTGCATTTCAAGGAATTATTATAAGGGTCCTTTGCTACGAGGACGCTGTTCAGGGGTTCAAACGTTGAACCCCTGGCCACCAGAGATCAAACGTTGAACCCCTGGCCACCAGAGATCTCTAACAATAACATTTTGAGAATATTTTAAGAATAGGAGGCACTGCAGTTAATTGTTGAAAATCTTCCCTCATTTCTTAGAGTAAAAGACCGAGATCGGGATTAAACCCAATTCTTTTCAAATTTAGCCAGTGTGATGTTGAGACCTTGGGCTCTAATTGCATTTTACCGGAGGAAATATTAAACTATGTGCGCACACAGCATTTAAAAAAAACACCATTCGTCATGAAAATTGTTGTTTTAACTCGACCATACTTTATCTAATCTGCTCCATTTTTCTCATATAGCATGACCTTCTTGCCCTGTAGATCATTTTAAACCTTAGTCATAGGAACTCCTGATGGAAACAAGTTGAAGTTGAATGTTTTTTACTTTACACCCTGCTCCTCACAGGTTAATCTGATCCCTCTCAAAAGGTGTTAGCCGAGACTTAAGACCTTGATAATGCTTTACTGTGAATATTATAAGAATCCGATAAACAGCGGCGAGAGAGAGCACTGGCAAAGTTGATCCTTCACCAAGAACAAATAGACCGTTCTAACTCTACTCCACATAGTTGGATCCTTTCCAATTTTCACGTTTGATGAGACTCCAGGTCTGAAGAGATGTACAGTGGAATCAAAGTCATAGCGCCACCTACTGGTACCAGGAAAGATTTTGAGTATCCAGTAAAAAACAACGGTGCTAAACGTGCCACACACATTTAGAGTCAAAGCTGTAGTTATGATATAATTTACACTATCTGGGGATGTGTACTATCTGCTTGAAGTGGAATTACTGTCTAACTAGTGATAGTTTCCTTTTAAATCTAATCTGAAAATGACCGGAGGTAGTCTTGTGAAAGATTTTTTAGGAAATTGGCTCATGTATGGTATTTTGCGAGGCTTTAATTTTGGAAGCAGGAATCAGGAAACAATTATTACAGAAATATACTGTATGTATGAGTGACACCTTGGGAATGGGAATCAACCTTAAGGGAAATTGTCATGTAACTATTGATAGTTTCCTTTTAAATAAAATCTGAAAATTGACCAGAAGTAGTCTGGCTGGTATCTGGACTGATACCATCCAGAGGCCATCCGGATTCCTTCCAAAATCTAGAGATGAATTGGGGCCACACAATGTATTTTGGAAACCAATGGATACGAAAAACATTTAACATGGTTTCGGGTGTCTCTTTGGCCGACGGCAGTTTAGGCAAGGCAATGCAATTAGTCATCTTAGAGAATCTGTCAACCTCTGTGAGAACAGTGGTGTTACTTTGGGAGACCGGCAGCCCCGTGACAAAGTCCAGCGAGATCTCTGCCTAGGGTCGGCAGAGCACCGGGAGTGGTTGCAGCAGACCCGTCCGTGCTTAGGACGAGGTTTTGTTCGTAGCACAGACGGGGCACGCCTCCACATAGTCCCGGACCTTACATTTCATAGCGGACCACCAGAACCTTTGTCTGATGGTATACATGGTTCTCTTGATTCCTGCACGGCAAGTGAGCTTTGAGGTGTGAGCTCAATGAATCACCCGGTGGCCCATTGCAAACGGAACAAACAGGTGATACCGTATAACAACTACGTTTAGGGTTCTCACCATTAGCTTGCTTCACCTCTGATTCTATCGGCCATGTAGCCGCTCCTACCACACAGTGCAGTTGTAGGATTGTTTCAGGTTTCTTGGCAGTAGGACCAAGTAGGTAGATAGGGCGCCCGGCTTGGTGACCTTTAAAGCAGGGCTCTCAGATTCAGGCCCGCGGGCCAAATCCGGTCCTCCAAGCAATTTCCTCCGCGGGCTCCTCAGAATTTTGCATAAAGTTAAATTTGCAAAAAGTCCTACAAATGGAAGTCATTGACTTACAGTGCAGCTCTGAGCTCAAAGCCCAGAGGCAGTCAAGCGGGATTTCAAGCACTTAGGGAGTTCAGTTTACCATCACCCCACCTGCATTTAAGCCCCAATCACCCACTCACCCATCTCAGGTTATCCATCGTCCTACCCAGAGATTGTATGTTTCAAGCCACCAGTATTCCTAGTGGTTTTTTTTTGGTCTTTCTGTTTTTCATTGCCAGGCCTTCTTCTTTCTCCCTCTCCAGCGTGTTAAGTCTGCTTGCGCCTGTGCTACTTTTTGGTTTGTTTTGCCAAGATCCGAAACCTGTAGTATTTGGTTGTTTCATTCCTTTGTGCCTGAGTCTCAGTCCTGATCCCTTACAATATTCTAATGTTTGGGTCGTCGTGGCGCAGGGGGTAGAGAGGGTGTGCTGTGAACCACAAGGTTGGTGATTCGAGTCCCGGCTGCCCCATGTCCCATGTCGAAGTGTCCCCGGGCAAAATGTAAGAGCCATGGGTTAAAAATGTAATGTAAGTCACTTTGAATAAAAGCGTCAGCTAAATGACTTGTAATGTAATGTTTGCTTATTTCAATAAAGTCCCAACTAATAGTCATACAGTATATTTAATCATGATGCAAATCTCAATACACTGTCCAAAAATATTAAGCTCATATTGAAAAGAATGTTGAAAGTAGTTGGTCAAAAGTTCTTTGTTTGCTAAGTCTGTCATTAGCAAATGATATAGTGCATTCGGTGCGCTAGGGAGAATTTCTGGCAGCAGGAACTTGATGGGAAATAAACAACAGTTGTTTCAAGTGAACTGAAATTTTTTTAGGGAGTTTTTCCTCTGCCGATGTGAGGATTTCGGACAGAGGATGTCGCATGCCATACAGACTTTAAAGCCCTCTGATGAGCTATACAAAATAATTTTAATTTAATTGTATTAAATTGAATATTGGCATATAGGAAGAAGATATGATCATCAGGTAACACTTAGGGGTATACACACAACACCTAACTTAGTAGAATCCATGTGGGCTGGATCTGCCCGAAATATTTCTATTACTGACTTCAGAAATGGGACAAAACAAGAGTTGGTCAGTAAAATTCTTTGAAAGGTGCCACGTAGCATTTAGCACCAGAGGCATTTCTGGGGTGTGGGTGATTTATGATCGGAAAATCTCTGACATTCTTTAGTGACTTCCTGTTAATTTCAGAATTCCTGCCTTATTCTGTACATCCAAGAGCTTCCTCCTGTAGGAGCTAACGGGCAGAGTGAAGCTCCCTGAAGCTATAGTCATGTGTAACATCACTTATGTCTGATGCATTACTGTAAAAATTCTAACTTCTTTTGGCTCACTAGGAGCCTCCCATTGGATCAGGTCACAACACGAACACAGAAACAAAAAGGAATTACAAAGTTTTATTTACTCATTCATGAAAATATTGTATAAATTAAATCACACATTACATTATGTTTTACATATTGTCATTATGTTAAGTCTTTTACAACAGAGCATTTGGCATTAGAAAAAAAGAAAAGAATTACTTACTTTGTAACCTAAGGCCACTTACTGAAGGGGTTAAGAAAAAGGTTCAATGGAATGAAAGCCGGGTTTTTTTCAAGTTTGAGAAAGTGAAAATAGACCAGTGATTAAATTAAGCAGTAGTTAAAGAGAAATGCACCTGCATTTCATATCGGAATGTAATTTTCAAAATGTGCGATTGATTAGTTAATACTTACTAATCTATTGACAGCCCTAGTAAATAAATATGGTGATTAGGGGAGCAGAAAAAGCTTAGCTGATGACCCTGCATATTAAAATGCTTGATTATATTTTTATTTGTGTGTTTTTGTTTAGCTGACATTCTTTTATGGCTTTTGTGACAGAAATTAGACACTTTTCAGACTTTCCTCTTTGCACACAGCCTTGCTTGTTATTATCAATAATTGTTTAGGTATTGCTTGTATTGTTTGAAACCCTGTGATTGACTAACATTAATTTCAAACTACCGTCGTTTTCCGCTCTATAGTAATCTTAACGAAAGGAAAGGATAGCTGTTAATGGAAAGGCGTGTGGGGGTTTATTTCACGTCTGTTTCAGTGAAGTAAGTGCAATAAGCGTACTATAATTAGTATCAGTTGTGGGCCTCCCATATTGTGGACTCTATATTCCATAATGGGTGTTCTGTCTCCATCAGCATGACCATGAATCACAGCCTTTTGACAAACTGGTAGCAATGGAACCTGTTAATATGGCTGACTTATTCTAACACACACCACAACTAAAGAAAGTTATTTCATATGCGGTTGCATGCTCTCATTCTGAATACAAATGGATTTAAAATTCAGAGAGCTCTATCATTAGGACTGAGTTCATCATTTCCTCATGCTCTATCAGGATTTTCCAACTGAGCGTTGTTATTTTAAGCCAGACTGGGAAATCTTTGAGCGAAAACACTTAGATATCTGCTTTTTGATGGTCCTCAAATACAGGACACCTAAATCTGTCAACATTTTTGAGCTCTTCATAGAGGAAACTACAATACATTATCTCAAATACATTTTGACAGTATAATAATGGCTAGAGGGCAGAGAGCCCGGAAGTAAAAATGTGTCGATGGTTTATTGTGCTCGTCCCTGGCAATAGCTTGGAAATAAAAAGACATCTGGGCCCGGTTTTTCAAAAGTAATCCACTAGGATTTTGGATAACGGATTGGATCAAATCTTGAAAATGGATTTTTCAAAAGAAAAAACGGATTACATAATCAAATTACATAAAACCTTTAGTTTGGGTTTTTCAGAACTTTTTTGTAGGATTTGGATCACTTTGATCCAAAAAGTCTGGATTAAACTGATCCCATCAGAAGAGTGGATTCAGCGTGGATTTCATGCCCAAAATGTAATGAAAACTTGAAAAATGTATCAAATAATACTATATTTGGATCATGCAGTATCTTACAAGATATCCTATTTATTCATAAGGTTTTAATTTTATTTGTTCATCCGTCAGGCTACAGTGATTAGGTAGGCTTTAACGTATTCAGCCTTTCAGTATAGGCCTACAGCAAAGAAAGAGTTTGGCCTCATAAAATAATCCCCCAAACAGCTGTCAAAATTGACCAAAAACAATACATTTTATTGTGTCACTAATTGATATATATATATATATTCATCACAATCGAAAATATTTTTGTTTATAGAATATTTATTAGTGATGCATGCAATGATTACAGAATAACCAAAAAAATGCAAAGAATGGCAATCACTGATTTTTGAAATCCAAAACAAATCCAAATCCCTTGTTGCACGTCCTGTTTGCTCGTTCTGGCAGAGGAACAACTGACTCTGACCAAACTGCAGCAAACCAAGGCCAGACTTGAGATCCGCCTCCTAAAGGCTACGCTCAGACAAGCTGGTCTCTCCACATCAGATGAGGAAGTCTGAAATTATTGTGAAGTATTTGACATTAAGTCTTTTTTTTAATTCAATACATCTATATTTGAAACTTGTTATAAATATCCTCAATGTACAGTGTTTGTGTTGTAAGTCTCAGATGAGCGGACTGCTGGAAGAGGATGGAGTGGGGTTTTTCTTGTTTTTAGTTTTTTTTTTTTAAATGTGTGTGTTTTCATTTCAAATAAAAATAAACTTATATTGACCCCACACTGGCTATTCTACTTGTTGCTCTTCTACATTGTGATTTCCTATCCTGTTTGAGCACTGGTTATCCAGATTTGGTGATCCTGAAAAGTTCCTATCCATCAGATTGATCCAATCCGATGTTGCTTTGAAAAACTGGCTCAAAAGTAAGCTGGATTACGTGATCACGGATCGCAAAAAAAAGGATTACTAAATCCGGATCAATTTTATCCGGATTAAACCTTTTGAAAAACCGGGCCCTGGACTTCATCGCTATCTCAGTTTTGTGCAAACAGAGAGATATGACATTTCACCATTTGCTTCATTTTAGGTCTGAGGCTGTCACCTGGGTTAAAAAAAACCTGGTCAGACAAAAGGATATGAAGGAGAAAAGACTTCTTCTGCCTTCTTACTAGAGCTCAAAAATAAGAAGAAAACAATCTTATTTTAACCAATCGCCAAAACAATGAAATGAAGTCCCAAATTATAAATGAAAATTATTGTCTGGCAACAACTCATATACTACTAAAGATGAAATGGAACATATCCAATACATGCATTGATGAATTGTTGTGGTGCAATGCACCTTAGATTCTGGGATTTTAATTCTATCTCATCTCATAATATGGATGCTCTGCAGACTTCTGTTTTTACTGTTATCAAATTTTGTGGGAGAGCAAAACAATAACATCCAATTCATGGCTTTAGTTGTGGAGAAAATGTACTAAGGTATAGCCATTCATGCACATTCATAGGCACCACAGATGAAGAAAGCTTATTAATATTTACAGAAACAAAGAGCAAAACTAAGCCTTTGACCATCTCCATGTGTACTGTACATATTTTACGCTGTTTATTCTCACTCCAAATGAGATACTAAGTTAATCAAAAAAATGAACCTCTGAAGTTCCGGTACAGTTTTATCCGGGTGTGGGCTAAACAAACAATCAATAAGGCATCTACTTACTCCATCTAACAGCTCCCACTCACTAAATCCCTCTAAATTGTGTTAAATCAGCAAGACCCTGGATAGACACTGTAATATTAAGTAAATAAAATAAAGTAAATAAAAGGAACCCTACAAATTAGCTGCACCTTTTTGGCAGAAAAGAGCTGGTAAATGGACTGTACTTGTATAGCGCTTTTTTGTTTTTCTACTGCAAATTATTTCTAGCCAATTTGTAATAAACATCATCTGTTTGGTAACAATAAACAATTCTCCTGACATATTTCTGTTGTAGTCCTAGGCAAAGCAGAATAGAAAAAGCCATTTTTAGTAGATCATTCAGAGGCACAACTTTACTACTCTCCCCTTTTTACGGTCACAGACTAGAGGTTCAGTCTCGGGGCCGCTAAGGCAAACTCATGCAGAATGTTTCTGGCAACATCCACTTTGTGCTGGGCAATCATCAAGGCCCGCTTTACGTCGTCAAAGGAGTATCCCTCCCCCATTAGTTTTGCAATTTTGGCGTCAACGTTCTCCAAGTGCAAGCTCTGGGGTTTGCCCGGCTTAATGTGTGGAGGGATCGTCCTGGGCAGTGGCTTGGGTGGCCTGGCAGGGGCCTGCAAATAGTCAATTGATACTTGGAGAGAGAAGGAGATAAACCATGTCAGTGGAAAAAGATCTGCGGCACTGGAGAAACTTGAGCATTATTAGAGGTCCTTAGACTTCACAGAACAAAAGCTTTGACATTTTCTCCAACATGTGGCCTGAGTCATATTGTTTTATGAGTTTGGACCTTTATTATTAAGTTATCACTGTCCTACAAAACTACAAAGCAGATATATTTATCATCAATTGAAGAGATGAAAAAACAAAAAAATATATGCCTATTTTAGATGAGACATCCAGGAAAATGAAAAAAACTGAATCCTAACTCATTGGCCTGATTTGGATTTTGAGGGTTCAGACAAACTTTCCACATCTGCATAAAACAACTTCCACTGTAATCTGGATTTGGGTTCATTCATATGTGGGATTTGTTAAAAAGGTTGCGGTGCCTACCTTGACTGGCTGATAATTGGTCGTACTCAAGGCAGCCCCTGAAACTTTTACCATGCTCTCCGTGTCGTCTGACAAGAGGCAGAGGAGCAGCTCTGTTCAGCATGTCAAACACTGCTCCTAGACCACACGCAAAGGCACAACAAAGTAAGGCTATGTTAAATTTGGATTTTTCCAAAATGTGCACAAATTATAACATTTCAGGCTCTGTGAGAGAAAATAATTAGATTGGCAAACACTGTAGGTGATTCAATACATTTCTATATTTCTTGAAAATTTTGATCGCAATTGAGATATCAAGAGTTTGCCAGCTTACCGTGGGTTGACAATAAGTGCTCATGTCCAGAGGAAGGCCTGTGTCGTTGTGCAATGACAGAAGACGAGGAGGAGTTGCAGAATGAGGACGAAGAAGAGGATGAGAGGTCGATGAAGCCAAGTCTTGGTTGGGACGGAGCGTCTAATGCTGAAACACAGACAACACTGATCTCTCTGCTCGGACTCAAAGTTCCTAGTTAATTCACAATGAGTAGCCTGATGCTGCTATGAAGTCCAAACAGCTGACATGCTGTCCTTCAGAGAAAATCAAAGAGAGGACCTTTGTAAAAGGGAAACAAGGATTGGGACATGAGGTACACAAAGGCTGAATATACATTTGTTGTTGGTATTCTGGGTTAACAGAAATTACAGGTGGAGCTCATTAGACATCAAACATACATATAAGCACATAATGACTTATTACTGGAATCAGAATTGAAATCTAACGCAATTAAACAGAAATTGGGACCATGTGAACTCTACTATGGTGGGTTTGAAAAAAACATCAGTGCTGTTTAACAACTGCGACTATTTTTTTAAATGATACAAAGCTAATGCTATTTTATAGTTTATGAATCCATACTACTATCTGTTATTATTATTATATTCTGCCTGCAACATATCACACAGAGATTAAAGTGGCATGTGAATATAAAAGAGATATTTCCACGTATCACCTGAGATTTGTTGGATGAGGTCATGTTTGACCCTGGGGGATTTGTACATGCTACAATGCTGACATTTTACAGTTAAAATTGGTACCACAACACATGTCTGCTGTGCACGGAAGACAAGGTTGAATCCAATAGCAGCAGGGCTGAGACAGGCAAGGAGTTGGGGGTGGGGATGGGCTACCTGTCGGAGGCAGCAAAATGTCATAGTCAGTGGCTATGTTGTTAGGGTCGAAGGGGCACAGGTGAGTCCCCTGTGAGATCAACCCCCTGACCGGCTCACAGTGTCCACCTGATGATCAGAGGCAGAGAACAGACTTTTTACTGATTTAATAAATTAGACAGATTAAGACAGTGTACCGTTATCAAGATAATTTATTTTAACAAAAGCATTACGTTTACTGGAAACTAATTAAAATTACATCCAGCCTATTTCTGATGGTAAGACTCAAGTGTGGATTAAATAAGGTGTACTAATATTCTCACAGAGTTTCCATGAACCATTAGGCATCCTATTCACTCTGCACAATACACCAATGAACTCTCAGTACTAAGGAGTCAGATACAGAACTTTTGATGTTCAATATTTTCTTCTGGCTTCAGGACTCACCAAGCTGCAGATGCTTCTCCTCAATTGAAGGCTCTGGAGAGCTGTTCATTGAGTGCCTGAATAATAAGAAATATATTTTTGTTTGCAGCAGCCTAATTAAACTCAAATGGAACCATCATAGTTGTATCGTCATAGTAGTTCTATTTCATCCTTGCTGACCGCCAGAGGCAGTGCTTCACACTGGATTATCTTATGTCTCGCGCATGCGCAGGTCGAGTCCTTATACCAACAGTCACCTGTGACCCCGGATGACCTCCCGTCACGTATAAGTACCGGTGTCATCCTGAGATCAGTCCTATTTCATCTTCTGGCTACGTAGGTAGCTATTCTGGTATCTATCTATCCATCCATCCATCCATCTTCAGCCGCTTATCCAGGGTCGGGTCACGGGGGCAGCTCCAGCAGGGGACCCCAAACTTCCCTTTCCCGGGCCATATCTACCACCTCTGACTGGGGGATCCCAAGGCGTTCCCAGGCCAGTGCAGAGATATAATCTCTCCCCCTAGTCCTGGGTCTTCCCCGGGGCCTCTTCCCAGCTGGCCGTGCCTGGAACACCTCCCTAGGGAGGCGCCCAGGGGGCATCCTCACAGATTCCCAAAACCACCTCAACTGGCTCCTTTTGATGCAAAGGAGCAGCGGCTCTACTCCGAGCTCCTCACGAATGGCTGAGCTTCTCACCCTATCTCTAAGGGAGACGCCAGCCACTCTCCTGAGGAAACCCATTTCGGGCCGCTTGTACCCGACCTAGTTCCTTCGGTCATTCGGACCATAGGTGAGGGTAGGAACAAGGATTGACCGGTAGATCGAGAGCTTTGCCTTCCGGCTCAGCTCTCTTTTCGTCACAATGGTGCGGTAAAGCGAGTGCAATACCGCCCCTGCTGCTCCGATTCTCTGTCAGAGCTGCCCCTCTAAGAGGGAACGTCGTGCTTCGTCGTAGGTCTATCAAGCATGGCGTTCTCGCCCAGACTAACTTGGCTGATGTGTTGCAGGCTAAATAATTAGGTCAGCGGTAACGCTTTGTACATTTGTTTATAAACATTACGGCTGCCATGGTTAGCAGGGTGTTCCCACCCAAACTCGGCTGATGTGGTGCTGGTGGACTAATAACTAGGTCAACAATAGCACTGTGTACAATTGTGTTTATTAATGTTACAGCTTCACAGTTAGCATGGTGGTCCCACCCAGACTAACTGATGTGGTAGTAGTTGACTAGATCAACAGTAACACGTTGTACATTCGTTTTAGAAACATTACGGCTGTCACAGTTAGCAGGGTGTTCCCGCCCAGACTAACACTGCCGATGTGGTGCTGGTTGACTAACTAGGTTAACAGTAGCACTGTGTAAAATAGTTTCTATTGAGGTTACAGCCTCATAGTTAGCAGGGTGGTCCCGCCCAGGCTAACAGATGCGGTACCGGTTGACTCGGTTAACAGCAGCATTCAGTACACTTGTTCTGTAATATTTGCAACTATCACAGTTTGCAGGGTGCTCTCTCGCGCAGACTAACTGATGAGGTGAGAGCTAGTTGAACCGGTCAGCAATAGCACTTTGTACATCTTGCAACTACCACAGCTAGCAGGGTGCTCTCGCCCAAACTAACTGGTGTGGTGCTAGTTGACTGGAACAACACTAGCACTGGCTACATTTCTGATGGGACCTTACGGCTAACACATTTAGCAGGGTGCTCTCGCCCAGGCTAACAGGACGAGATGCTACGTCTGACCAGAACGACACAGACATTGTGTCATTGGAGATCTAGCAGTGATCACGGTTACCCTGTGTCCTCACTTGGGCTAACACCGTGGAAAGCTGGCACTGAGACTGCGACTATCTGTTAGCAGAGTGTCCATGCTCAAGCTTACTCGTAGAGATGCTAAGTGGACTGAATCGACATTGACGTGGTGTCCACTGAGGCTTTTTACATTGTGCAGCTGTCGGTTGGCAATGTATCTTCGCTCAAGGTAATACACCATTCGCTACAGCAACTGTCCTAGTGAAGGGAGTGCTCCCGCTCCCCTCTCACTGTAAGGACCAGCTATCCGACCTGTGTCCACAGTAGCAGAAGCACTCCCGCTCAAGCTAACTGGGGGGGGGACCCCGATATCTGCAGCCCAAGATCCTAGTGAAGAAAGTGCTCCCGCTCCCCTCTCACTTTAAGGGCCAGTTGCCACAATGGCAGAGCTGCTCTGGCTCGAGCATACTGGTGGGACACTGATATCTGCAGCGAAAATCCTGGTGTCCCCTCTCACTGTACGGATAGGATATTTTCTGCCTGCTTCCACAGTCGCAGAAGTGATCTCACTCAAGTCAACTGGTGGGACATTAATATCTACAGTAACTATTCTAGTCAAGGCAGTGTCCTCACTGCTAGGAATGTCTTTTGGCCTGCTTTCTGCAGGACCAGAGTGCCCTTGCTCAAGCTAACTCAGAAGCCTGCATTGACTAGTGGCCACGTTTAACTCTACAGGCTATGGGACCTGTATAGCTCCTCTTCAGCTTGAAGGCTGATGACACAACAGGGTGGTCAGCCTTATTGGCATCTCCCTTTTCCACCTCATGCTTGCTTTGCTGCAGCAGGCTACCTCTTGCCACTTCCACCGGCCGCAGAGATTTCACTGCAGATATTTGCCCTCATATCGAGGGAATTTGGAAGTCTGATATCCACCCTTCTCCAGACTCGCCGCTGGGTTTGGCTGGCGCAGTCACCCCTGTCAGAGAATCCTCCGTAGTGTCACCGTGGAAGCCTGAGAAGCTGTTTGTCAGCCGCTAAACCAGGTGCCTCGGCGAAGTATTGTAGATAGCCAGGGCAGACAGCAGTTCTGTTTCTTCACAGGAACATGCCAGCATATCTATGGGGTTCCACTTTGGCCCTCCTCAGCCCCCAGCTAACTCCAGTAATTGTCACAGGTTGCCTAGACCCCAGCTTGTACCCATGCAACCCGACCATATGTTTCCCACAGGCAACTGCCAAACCTGGGGCCCAATCGTCAAAATCTCCAAGCAGGGGAGCCAAGAAATTTGGTCTCAGGGCCAGCATTTGGTTATTCCTTCCAGCAGCAGATTGGCTACTGGGCAGTTCATGCATTAGACCCCAGGGTGGTTTTTACCCTATCCCAAGGGTATAAGCATCAATTCCAATGCTGGCCTCCAGCCGGGTCGCAATGACCAACATCACCATACCGGCATCCCTAGCCCTGAGCCAGGAGTTAAGGTCCTGGCTGGGGGAACTATTGAGGCTGGACCCTCTGTCACAACCCGTGGGGGTAATACTTGAGCCTAACGTCTGGTAAGAAAGAGAGGCTTCGGACTATGTACAGTCACCGACCTGAAGTCTAAGTCCTGCAGTGTTGCCATTGCACATGTAGAGCACAGCAGACGCCTTGCGTTCTGTCTCCTAGGAAGAGTGGTTCACCTCCTCTCACGTGGCTCGGTGGGGCCTCAAGGTGAAGATGAGGTGGAACCACCCTAGCCCTTCTCAGAGCACTACCACCGTTAGGATGGCCCTGTGGGGCTGTCCGTCGCCCCAGCGCATGTGGACAACTTCCCCACAGCCTCTCCCCTTCTAAGAGGTAGACGGTTGCCTTACATATTTTTCCGCCTCTAGGGTGGACTGACTGCGGGCGGCTTCAGGCTGCACAGCCTTCACTTGTATGCCAAGTTTCGGGACAATGGTAGCATCAAAACACTACCTTATCCCCGGGGAGCCCCTGTGGCATTTTGCCTCTCACAGCAGATACCTGCCTCCGAAGGCACAGGGGTGTAGAACAAAACACTGCTCCGGACCACAGGAGCCCGCCAATGTTCAAGAGCTAGCACTCAAGCATTTCCCGCTATTCCGTGAGGGAAAGCAGGTGTTTTTCTAGTTGGACAACACCTCTTCTGTGTTGACGCCAATATTAAGGGGGGAAACTGATTACGCTTACTTTGCCTGCAGCGTTTGCAGCGTCTGCAGCATATAAAAACTCGACCTGCGCATGCGCGAGACAGAAGATAATCCAGTGTGAAGCACTGCCTCTGGCGGTCATCCAGGATTCATAGAACCATAGTTACATACGTAACTTTCGCTTTAAAACACAGCCAAAAACACAGCCAGTACCTGCCAGCTACAGAAATGCAAATGGGAGCCTGGCTCAAGCAGACGCTGGATGAAGGGATCTGATAGTGGTCCTCCAGCCTCTCCATCACTCCCCACTTTTGCTCTACTACAGGGCTCCTTGAAGAGTTGGAGGGTCTGTGAAGATGACCATGGTTTATTAACCCTCCATTAGTGTCATTCGTACAGTTATTACATTCAAATTGAAACCTCCAACAGGAGGTTCATCCGAAGAAGCCTTAGAGTTAAAGGAAAGGCAAGTAGGTAATCTAGCATATGTTGAATTGAATGTTACTTAATTCTACAGTGGTCCTGCCTTACTATTCGCAGTAGTTTTATTATTTTTTGTATGAATTGAACGCACTTTATGTATTTTACGTTGTTGATTCTGTACACTGGGATAACTAGAGAGGGATCCCTACTCTGCTGTTTTCTTCCTAAGTTTTCTTCCTTTTTTATTTTTATGCCAATGTAAGGGTTTCGGGACAGAGGATGTTTCCTGTGTGCAGACTGTAAAGCCTTCTGAGGAAAAATAAAATTACTTTTTTACTAAAACACTAGTCCTAGTGACAGTAAAGTCTTGTTTATAAGATAACTAGACGGCTATTTTGTTCTATTATCATTTACGTCTACATAGTGCGGTTGTCAACTTTAAAGTAAATTGAGATTTCCCATGCACATTCCATTGATCTAACAGATATTCATCCAACGTGTTTAATCTCTGTATGAATTACAAAAACTAAATCTAAATCTAAATCAGAGGAACTATTAACTAGTGCAGTTGGATATCCCCAGTCACAGTAACATACAACCGCATGGACGCTGCAATCTTCTCTGCACATATCATATAAATGTTTTAGACAAATCCTTTCAATATTGACCAAGTTATTCAGGACATTTCGAGTGAGACTGGATGTGTGACTGTGTGTGATACTCACTTATAGCTACTGGCAAGTGTGGACTGCATTGGCGAGTGCCGTGAGGGAAGGATTTCATATTCACCGCTGACTGGCCCCTCATCATAGAAGGACTGCACACATGAGGCAAGGGGGGGGACTTACAAAAAGCACAATGGACCAACTGCAAATGTGATACCCACTGAATTGACGAACTAAAGTAAACTAGTCCAGCTTTAGATATGTCATGTTCTTTCCTGATTCTGCTGGGGTAGTGTGGTCCTGATCACTTATCAAACACAGCCAGGACACCGTACTGTAACAAACAGCAATGTTTTAAGCACTTACTGTAGCTTCAAATCAATTTACTAAAAAAGCCAGTATGGTTTTATCAGATGTGTTTATGTGCATTTTTTTTCTTTTAATAAAGTCTAATACATTTCCAACTACAGACAATTTTGTGAAAAACCGGATCCAAGGTGTAAAGCCCCTGTACCCGCCCCCCCGCTTCCGGTCGCCCATGCGTCCGAGACCTGTCGCCAATTTTCCTCTAAGTGTGATTGTTGTGTCCCTGATTGTTTCAACCTGTGTCCAATCACCTGCACCTTCCCAGTGTGTTTAAATCGTGTGTCCCTTGTCGCCTTGTTGCATTGTTAGTCTAAGTCTTGATTTGTTTGGTTTACCTTGTGTTTTGATCGCCACTTACCCGTCTTTTGTGGTATTCTACTATATGTATTCTATATAGTTTTTTTTTTGGAAATCTGCAAGTCTGCGTTTGAACAAAAATATGAATGCTTCACACACTTCGAAGCATTAAAGTCTTGGCTACAATCCCCATGGAACTCGAAGAAGATGAAGATGCTCAAAATGCTCAAACACAACTTTTGTATTAGTATTAAGTAGTAAGTATTTTGGTTGATGGGGGTGTCTTTGTAGTGGGCGAGATAATCCCACTTCTTTCTGATCATGCCATCAGAAGCCTGGGCAGGCAGTACACGTCTGAGCTCTCTGACAAGCAAATGGACATGTACTTTACCATATGAATCTCTTCCCGCAGATACTACAGGCCTCATGCTAGATCTGCTCTCTATCGTAACCTCTCCTCTCTCACCTATCACACACCCACTCCACACATGTCTCGTCACAGGACCCTCGAGAACTGGCAAATCCCCTCCGGCTCCGTGGCTGTCTGAACGGTGCGTGTCGTGAGAGCCAACGTGCGAGCATCGGAAAGGAGATGGCGTAAATATAAACAACCTGAAGACCTGCTTTTCAATCTCTTCTCTCCTCTTTTTCTGCTTCTATCTCCGCTGCCAAAAGCTCTTTCTACCAATCCAGAATCGAATCTTCATTTTGTAACCCAAAAAACTCTTTTCTATCTTCTCCAACATCCCCGAACCCGCTAGTCCTCCTCCCCCCTCCATCCTTCTTCTGGGAGACTTTACCAAAAAAATAGCTGACACACGCTCCTCTTTCTAAAACCCACCGCCTACTACTCGTGTCCCACCGACTTCACCTCTATCGCCCTCACTTCCCTCTTTCACCACCCTGTCTCCAAACCAAATTCTTACCTTAGTAACCTCTGCCCGTCCGACCACCTGCCCTCTTGACCCCATTCCATCACATGTTCTACAATCTATCACTCCTGACCTTATTCCTTTCCTCACCTTTCTCATCAACAATGCTCTGTTATGGTGGCTGTTTTCCCAATTCTCTGAAGGAGGCAAGAGTTAACGCACCCCTGAAGAAACCTACCCTCGAACCTTCTGATGAAAACCACCACAAACCGGTCTCGCTTCTTCCCTTTTTGTCCAAAACTCTTGAATGTGCGATCTTTAACCAACTCTCCTCCTATCTCCACCGTAACAACCTCCTTGACCCCCACCAGTCAGGCTTCAAGGCAGGCCATTAGACACAGACAACAGAGAAACTTCCCACTGCTAGAGCCGCCTCTCTCTCCTCTGTCCTCATCCTTCTGGACCTCCCTGCTGCATTTGACACAGTTAACCACCAGATCCTTATTTCCTCCCTTCAGGAACTTTGTGTCACAGGTTCTGCTCTCTCACTTCTCTCGTCCTACCTCGACGGCCGGACTAACCGGGTAACCTGGCGAGGATCTGTGTTGGAACATTGTACTCTTACTACTGGAATTTCTCAGGGTTTCGTCCTGGGTTCCCTCCTCTTCTCGCTCTACACCAACTCTCTCGGCGCTGTCATTCACTCGCATGGCTTCTCCTACCACAGCTATGCCAATGACAACTAATTCTCTCCTTCCCTCACTCGGACACTGTGGCGGCACGGATCTGTGCCTGTCTGACTGACATCTCTCAGTGGATGTCCGCTCACCATCTGAAAATTAACCCCGACAAGACTGAACTACTTCTCTTTCCGGGAAAAGATTCTCCCACCCAGGACTTGGCGGTTAACTTTGGTAACTCCGTGCTAACGCCCACTTTGACTGCTAGGAACGTCGGCGTGACACTCGACAGCCAACTCTCCCTGACTCCCAACATCACTGCGATAACACAATCCTGTAGATACATGCTCTACAACATCAACAGGAGAATCCACCAAACAAGAAGGTCTGCCCACTCTGTAATACTCCCAATGCAAGCCTCCAGCACATGCTTTCGTAGGGACGCAATAGATGGTCAATAGATCAGGTACTGGCAGAGCTAGTTGAGGTGCTGGAAGGGCGCAGACGGGAAAGCAGGGGATGTCTCCCCCAAATGGAACGCCACATCAACTTTGTCTCGGAGGGTAGAGGAAGAAGAAGCACCAGGCCAAGAGAAACACCAAAGCTCTTTTCCTCCGACCAGGAGTGGAACATGCAAGTAGATGTTGGCAACCACACGCCTACTGAGGGACACAGGTGTCACAGGTAGAACTTAAGAACTGGTAGAAGGCTAAAGACTTAAGAACTGGCGGACGAGGCGGAGAAGGGCAGCTTTTGGCTGTGGCTAAGGAGGAGTGGAAAGAGTTAACCCATATACCAAGTGCAGGGGGTGAGAGGGAGACATCGCCACTCCGCCACCAGGAGACTTCCAGGATTAAAGGAGCAATGGAGAAACAATGGTGAATGGTGTTTCCTTGGCTGATGAACCTGCAGCTGATCTACGGGCACCAGAGGAGGTTCGTCAGGCAGCAATGTATAGCAGAAAAATACAGCTACCTTATCTTTGACCAGAACATGTCCTTTAACTCTCAGATAACGCAAACTTTAAGGAATGGAATCATATTAATCCTGTATTATCCTGCGTCTCTGCACTGGCTCAATCAAGAATAGAATTTAAAATACTCACCCACAGGGCAGAAACTGTGCCTTGAAACAGTCGTATCTTCAGGAGCTTATAATACCATATTGCTCTACTAGAGAGTTGCACTCCATACATGTGGTTTACTTGTGATTCCTAGAGTCTTAAAACACATTGTAAAGCTGTGTGAGGCAAATGTGTAATTTTGGGCTGTAGAAAAGTAAATTAAAATCAAAATTAGCAGGAATGGATGGTCCTCGCTACGCCACACACGTTGAGGCACTACCGTACCACTACAAACCCCGCTGAGAAAGCCTGTGGCAGTCGGACAAATGTCTGCGAGTCAGTTGTTGTTAACCGCGTGAAGCAACGCCATATTTTACTCTAAATGTGTGTAAAGTTTAGTTACAATTAGTTACAAGCATGTTTAGTCCCTCAAAAGTACTTGTTGTTTAGTATGAAGAATGGGTTACCATGGCAACAGCGCTACACAAAACATGAAATGCTTCTTGGGCTGTCATCAAAGTCTTGTGTTTCTGAAGAATACATTTCATGTCAATCTGATTTACCTACTGTGAGAAGCAAGTCAAAGTATAGAAATGTTTACTTCCGGTTTACAGATGGTTTGATGACCTGTTGTGTCTGCTTGGTTCCAGCGTCTCTCGGTCATACACCTAACTGCGTTCAGTCTCAGCTGTGTGTGTGTCTCTGGCAGTTTCATAAAGTGTATTCCCGCTTTGGCAGCAGGACGGCGGTGATGACAAGCGGAGCATCTCAACGCCGATTGGCTTTCGCAAGACAGCATTGGGCTGGGGTTGCTTAAATTAATATTTGTATAGGGCACTATTGAGCCGAATTACCATTTTGAATCATTAAAACTATATCAGGTAACTACATCTTCGACGTGAATGTGTGTGAAACGTTTAGTTACAATCTGAGTATGTATAGTACCTCCAAAGCATAGACATTTTTACTTCCCATTACCAGTAGGTGGCGCTATGACTTCGGTTAAAAATTCCACATGTCTTCAGGAGTCTCATCAAACATGTGAAAATTGGAAAGGATCTGATCATGTGGAGTAGAGTTACAACAGTTTAATTGTTCGTCGCCCTTTATCGAATTTCTACAATATTCACTAGGTGAGGTTGAGGAAATTACAAATTGAGACTTGGAAGGTACCCATTGTTTCATGTCTTTGACAAAGATGAGTGTGAACAATATGCATGGTTCACTACAAAAGTAGATCTAGTAGGGTGCAGATCTATGCCAAATGTATGTGTAGTGTTTACCGCTGTAATGTTTGACTGAAACCCAAACTGACCCAAACTGTTACAAGCTGCACCCCCTGATGAAATATGACTTCAGTGTCTCTCTGCTGAATCTAAACTTATTCAGAAGTCCTACCTTGTAGCTCTCTGAGGTTCCTGTCTCTTCCATTCTTTGGTGTAATTTCCTTAATCCAGCAGACGGAAAACTGAGCGGCCTTCCGCTCAGGTGACAGTGTCCTGTAGGTTTGAGCAGTGTGTCTTTGGGAAAGAGTATCTCAGGGGGCATTTGGGAGCCTGACAGCTTGCCCATAGAAGATGAGATGGAAGATGTCAAGGGAGATGAAGTGGGTAGCCAAGAGTGCCATGACTCGGAGGGTATGGGAGCAAGACGCTCAGGGGGAGGCGGTGGAGGTGGGTCTCTTCGTGGAGGAGGTGGGGCTGGGAGAGGCTTGTCCTGCTTCCTGGACATTCCTGGCGAAGACTAAAGGAGGTGGGGAAATGGCATATTCAACAGAATGATAGAATACATTATAAATAATTATCAACTCATCTCAAACTTACACAAAACATTATATTTATTTTTTAACCTTTTGAATCTGATTTTCAATGGTCAAGTGATCCATAATCTTTTTTTAAATGCTAATAAATCGCAGCAAGTTGAGGGCCCAAAATAACAAATATGAATACAGATATTACAAATTACAAATACCATTCTTCATTTTCAAAGATATTTTTACTTGTATCTGGCTGCTGTTACTAACCTTCGGAGAGACGTTTGGACTGGCAGATGGGGAGTGGGTGGCACCCTTTTGAATGAGGTCAAGTCGTGGCGGGACAGGGGGAAGACCAAGGTGCTGGACACAGTGGCTGAGGTCTCCTCCATGGAACTTTCTATATTGGTTCACAGGGGAAGAGCTGGGAGACACCATGGGCGAGTTCTGACGATCTGCACAGTGCTGAGAGAAAGGTACAAGGCGTTTAGTCATTTAGGATACGCTGTTTTGAAAGATGTAAGAGACTTAACTGTCTGATTTATTTGCCTAAATTTGCCTAAAGTGGAAAAGCCTTGTTTCCTTTGACGTTCTAATCCTTAAGACTTCAAAATGCTCTTAAATTGAAGAACGCTCCACAGGTAAGAAAACCAGTACTAGTATGGTACAGAAACAAAGATGGGAGCACACCAATTAATGAATGGTCTAGAGTGACTGTACAAAATTATTGGTGAACATAAAACACGTTAGCTGATATGTGTGGTGGTGGGGTGTGGTTAGCTCAGCTGCAGGGGGGAGAGAGCGGGGGAGTGGATCAGGGAACGGTGTCGGTATGTAGTTAATGAGTGTAGCTGATCAACATCCTGACTCAGTGTGTTTACATGATGGTATAATTCGAATCTTTGCTTAGTCGGACTATGCTATCTTTCGAGGCAAGTGCTATTATCCCAATATACATGGCAGTGAATAAATCGAATCATTGGCCGAAAGCATGTCATATATGATAGGTGGCGCTGTTTTCATTACAACTAGTTGTGATACAGCCATTTCCGCTTGAGCTCTTCAGCACTACCAACAACAACCAACAACAACAACATCATCAACATTACGAGAAAGATGGCGAACGGAGAGCAAGGTGAAGCTACATCCCTCTACTATTTTTGCATGATGTTAATAGATACTGCTCGCAAATCCGAATGGCACAATTGGCTGATTTGATAACGGAGAGAAGACACCGTCGGGATCTCAAGCATGCGCAAAGACGCAAAGTCCAGTTCTTTATCCAATTCACCGTTACATGGCGCAATAGTCGAACTATCAACTGGATCGGATCGAGTTATCCAGGGGTGTTAGTCGGACCGCACATAGTCGGACAAAGGTGTTTACATGAAACGGATAATTCGATTTCAGTCCGACTAAGCCAGTTATTCGAATCCATGTAACCAGGCTGACTATCTCACTTATAAAACAATGAGCAGGACTGGGAGAGGTGGTGGCGACAGACAGACTCGACTAGACACTCAAGAGGCATGGCCGGAGAGTGCAGGAGTCTAGCTGGAGGCACAAGGATTGAAAACCGGATTTGTGTGTCTCTGTCCAAGAACCCGCAGGGTAGCTCCATTACGGCTACAATATGTTATATGTAGCTTTTGCTAACTATATCTATTGATTTTAACATTTTCTTTAGGGGCGCAAATTTGCAAAATGAAGATGGCCCTGATTTTGTTTGGGATTCTTTTTCATGTGTAGCTCGGCCATCAGAAATTCTTCACTTAAGCTATATTTAGGTTTCAATTTCAGCAAATATCCTTTTTTCTAATCCTGTTATATATTGTCAATAATTTAAATTGGATTTCATTTGAATTTATAACAGAGATAACTTTAGATTTCACACTAATAAAAAATAATTGTAACCCTTAAATTCCCATGTTTTGCATAGCAATATGAGTTAAATAGCATTAAACAAATAATGGGCAATATACATATAGGGGGAATCCTTGAGTCTTGTTTAGTAAGTAAAGCCCATTAACCTTTATCGGATCCGGAACCTTTTCCTGTAATGAAAGCAGCAGCAAAAAAGGCTAATTTCTTTTTTCCCCTATCCATAAAAATAAGTCTTTACAAGTCTTAACCTTCCTGGTGTTGGCCAGTCCATTCATGACCAGACAGTCCTCTCGGTCTTCCTCGTCGTCCAGTTCCAGCATGGGACAACTTTGCTGTTCCATGAAAAAACACCTGTTACCCTCATTACGTGGGTCAAAGGGATCCACAATAATGGGCTCGGTGCCTTTGATCTCACAACGACAGAACGGACAACCCTGACCATCTGATTCCTGCAAAAGATAAGTAAAAGAGTTTAAGTGAAACAGGATATGTCCTGGAAACACACAGACATACAGAGTCACAGGAGTGGCGTTGACCTTGACACAGCCCCAAAGATCCCATAAAAGTAGAACATGAGGGACATCTGGGACACTGAGCAGGCAGGTGGTGCCTGTGCTGAGTTCACCAGTGGTCTACTGCACGGTCTAGTGTGGTTCTAGAAGAACACTAGACATGTAACCATGAACTAATGGTGCTTCAGTATAGCTATAAACATATCCAGTTGTCTCTGAAGTTATTGAATTAACTGGTAGCAGAGCATAGCGGCAGGAAATCACACCGTTCCGCCACCGTTTGACAAGAAGAAGCGTTAAAGAGAATCTTTGGCAATAATTCTCCACAAGAGAGAGAGATAATATTCTCTGTGGGAGTGGGAATGCTGCCGACGCTGCCTACTAGACACGGTTTACAGGAAAGCGTGAAAGTAATGTCAGGTCAAGTCCACAAAATCATATGGATGTTCAAGGTACAAATCCACTCGACAGATTTGGGAGAAGGACAAGATGTGCAGTCTGCCAACGCACATTTCACTGAGCAAAGGATTGTCATCACAAAAATTACCATTAAAAATTGATATAAAATGAGAATGCCACAGATTTTGAAGAATGCAACATTACGTTATTGTCAGAATAATAAGAATTTCCGACTGACACAGGAGGTATTCACTATTGTCATTAGGATCATCTGAAATCAACACTGCTTGCACAAGAACGGTGTGTGGAGAAAAATGGCTTGATCATTACACAAGTAGACTAATGTCTACAATGTGAGTTATTAAAACAAGAGGACACAAAGAGTAAGAGCATTCAACTTTGGTCATTGGAGAGTTTTTCATTCTATAAAGAAAGTGAAAATCCCAGCCATGGTAGGACAGGCTAGATGTCAAATTGAAACAGAGGTGGTTCCTGTAGATCCTGTCCTGTTGCTTTTAAGAAAAGCTTAAAAACACTAAAGAGAGCAGGTGCAGTTTTAGACATTGAAAATGACAAAGCCACAATGTTTAAATAGCCAGTGAAACTTCAACTCACATCTGTCGGACACTATTTTGTGAAAATTCGAGATGAGAGTAACCCAGACGAACATAAGCCCCAGAATGAGGATGACATTCTCACCGTGACAGAAAACAAACAAACAAACAACAAAGAAAAAATGAAATTACTGTTGAAACTACACCAGCACTTTAGACATGCCTCTGTTGATGCTCAGATAATTCTGATAATGACTGCACATTAATCCTCAAAGACATTCTAAAAAAATGTGACATGTGCATCAGATATAGCAAACCAAAGCAGAAGCCAGTGGTGGGTTTGCCCATGGCCTCAACCTACAATGAAATGGTAGAAGTGGATTTGCATGAGTGTGGTATTTACATGCAAATGACCATTTCACACACTTCAGTGCAGATTGTGAAGCACTTTATACATTTCTGGATGTGTCCATTGTCCACCAAGCAGACTGATTGTGACAATGGGGGTTAATTCAACGACGAAGATATGATGGAGCAATGGGCTTTTGGAAAGGCATAATCAAAGCCTCACTGACATCTTATTGAAAGGTAAGAGGGACAATAGATGTGACTGGAGGGTGGCCCTTGACTGTGCATTGATGACAAAGAACTGTATGCACAACGTGCACCAGCTGGTATTTGGACAAAACCCAAATCTGCCTTTCTCACTAACAACTCTGGAAAGTACTCATATGAGTACTTGGATAGCCCAGGGCAATTATTTTGGTAATGGATTAATCTGTGCAATATTGTTTTGATTAATCACTGAATCTTTCAAAAAAAGCATTCATTTCAAAAACAGAACTGACAGTACAAATTCAGTGTTAAGAATTGTCAGCAAGTGCAAAAACAGGTTGTAATGATTTTTTGACTAACACAAAAACCCATTTATTTTTTACATCTACCAAATATTTAGGCTTTTAAAAAATAAAGTGAACAAAAATATGTATACTTTTGTTTAAAGGGACCTGAGCTGTCAGAACAATAAATCATATATCAAAAATAAAGTAAAATACAAATTTACAAAACTTTATAGGATTTTTTTTGAACATCTGGGTTCCGTTTCAGGTAGGAGGTTTAACAAACTCTGAGTCAAACACTAAACTCTGAGTTGATTTACCCTGAGATGGGAAACTGAGTTTTGGGTTTCAGAACAGCCATTTAGAGTTGGTTCAATCAACTCAGAGTAGGTTGGCTCAGAGTTGAGTGCGGGCACCACTACAGCATGAAGGCAGCATGAATGATACTACGATTCACCATGCCAACAACTACAAACAATCGGTCGGCATACTTACCCCTATTGAGCTGGAAATATTAATGCAAACGTACAAGTATGAACCCGTAATTAGAATAAAAGCAACACCGCTACTGCAGCAAAAGACAGAGAAACAGCGTAGGAGAAAATTGCTGCGAGTTCCAATATAGTGTTGTCAGTTAATATTTACATACTAATCATAATCCATACGTTTGACTAATTTCAAGTTTGTTAGAATGCATTACACATAGGCTTGAAATACACACCCATGCTCATATTTAATCACAAGAATAATATCACTGGTAAAAACTGGTAAAATGGTATTGAACCTCTAATGTATATTATTCAGGTGCAATCCTGTGGAACTCCTCTTTAATGCTCTCAGTGGTTTGTGTCCAGGGATAGGTTTGCCAACTTCCTCAACCCCAAAAGAGGGGCACTTTTTTCCAGATGTGCGCGGGCGCGCCATGGCTAATGATAGTTCTCTGCGGCATACTGTGCAAAAACGCTTTCCTTTCGTCATTGGCGACTGCATTAACCCATGACATTTTGGCTTCCCATTCTTTTTTATAGCTTTTTTTTGAAGGTTCACTGCTCATTTTGACACACGATAACGCTCACCTCCCAGTGGCCAGTTCAAACAAACTGTCACCAACAAGCAACAACCGTGTCCCATAGCAACGTTTGCGTGAGTTTTTGGCGAGTTTAAAGAAGCCTATTAATAAAAAAATAAATTTAAAAATTTAAAAAAATATTGGCTGTGATTGGAATACGGGACTGGAGCTGTCCTTGACGGGACATATCAAAATCACCCATAAATCGGGATGTCCTGGACAATTCGGGATGGTTGGCAACCCTATCCAGGGAACACAAATGTTTAAAAGACGTTTCAGAGCGAGGCACACTTTTCTCACGGCTCGGCATACAGCAGCTTACTAATATTCTCCGCATCACCAATGTTGCATAAGAAACTGCCATTTGCAAAAAAACGTAATGCTACACAAATCTGCTCGGATGTGAGAGCATGTCCGCGATGGGTGACGTTACTTATATGACGACAGGTGAGGTTATGTACATAGTTGATGGATTGTGAAGAAAAATTATACCGTTCAAACAAGTAGTTATCTGGAAATGACAATATGTCTAATCGGGGCCCCAATATTCTCTCCCGACTTATGTTTAACACCCTGCAAAGTAAAAGCGCTTCTTCATCAACGGGATCGTCCAGAAAAGGACATGACATGTTTGAGAAAAAATGTTAGTCTTTAACGTAACAGAGATCTTATGTTGTTCACATCTCAAAACTGAGCATGGTTCGTTACAGTACCTGCCAGGCAGTTAGACAGGAAGTACACATAAGGTGACCGCAGGGTTCAATCTTGACGTCTTTGTTGTTTTCAGCGCAGATCTTACAAAGCTGGAAGGTGGAACCCATCTCACAGTACAGTTCATACTGCTCCTGTTCAGGTAGAGCAAACTGCTGTTAGTCCTCCAGTGATGGCCGTATCAAACTATCCAAGAACACACACAAATACAGTATACATAAAGGGCGAGCTCCCCAACATGCGATAATGTTGAACAATGATTTTCAGGACTTCACATCACTAAGGGAGGTCCGGAGGAATATTAAGAAACATAACTACCTGATAATATTAAAATATTTCAAAACATATGACCCAAGAGTTAAAATGATGAATCCTTAATGCACTTTTTCTTAAGAAGAGTGCCTGCAGTCTCTTCTTTTTCTTTAGATCAGTTAGATCGGAGAGGCCAAGACGGTAGTTGAAGATGGAGAGAGCTTTTTCCATTGAAAGTCAAAAAAACAGAGGAGCAACATAAAGCAATGAACTATGCAGAGGAATTCCTCAACATACACAATTTGGTCAAGTTCAGGCAAGTCTGAGTAAACAGTTACCACACTTCAACGTCATAAGGGAGCCTTTGGGAAGCTTAGGAATTCCATTACAAGCGGAAACCATGAACATTACTTGGCTTATCCAGATGGAGTTTTTCAGACACACAAACAAACCCACTTGTGTAACTTTGATGTGATCATGAGGTGTTGGCTCACATAAACCAGTGAGGTCTGGATTGTAACTGCGACCATCAGGAAACAAGTAGCTGCAAATGAAAAAAAAGATGTAAACATGTAAATAAGTCATTGAGTCCAATGAAATACAAGTACTCACAGTGAGTGGTAGAACCAAAAGCAGTGATAGTAATTGATTTAAAGGAAATATACAGTGCATCCGGAAAGTATTCACAGCGCTTCACTTTTTCCACATTTTGTTATATTACAGCCTTATTTCAAAATGGATTAAATTCATTATTTCCCTCAACATTCTACACAAAAAAACCCATAATGACAAAGTGAAAACTGTTTTTTGCAAATTTTTGCAAATAAAAAAATATAAAAATAAAGAACGAAAACATAACATGTACATAAGTATTCACAGCCTTTGCTCAATACTTTGTTGAAGCACCTTTGGCAGCAATTGCAGCCTCAAGTCTTCTTGGGTATGATTCCACAAACGTGGCACACTGATTTCTGGGCAGTTTCTCCCATTCTTCTTTGCAGAACCTCTCAAGTTCCATCAGGTTGGATGGGGAGCATCGGTGCACAGCCAATTTCAGATCCAGAGATGTTCAATCGGGGCTCTGGCTGGGCCACTCAAGGACATTCACAGAGTTGTCCCGAAACCACAGAAAGATTTCTGCAGCATTGAAAGTCCAATGAGCACAGTGGCCTCCATCATCCGGAAATGGAAGAAGTTTGGAACCACCAGGACTCTTCCTAGAGTTGGCCGCCCAGCCAGACTGAGCGATCCGGAGAGAAGGGCCTTAGTCAGGGAGGTGACCAGGAACCCGATCACTCTGACAGAGCTCCAGCGTTGTTCTATGAATAGAGGAGAACCTTCCAGAAGGACAACCATCTCTGCAGCACTCCACAAATCAGGCCTGTTTGGTAGAGTGGCCAGACGGAAGCCACTTCTCAGTAAAAAGCACATGACGGCCCGCCTGAAGGACTCTCAGACGTTGAGAAACAAAATTCTCTGGTCTGATGAAACAAAGATTGAACTCTTTGACCTTTGAGAGGTTCTGCAAAGAAGAATGGGAGAAACTGCCCAGAAATAGGTGTACCACACTTGTGGAATCATACCCAAGAAGACTTGAGGCTGCAATTGCTGCCAGATTTGCAAAAATTTGCAAAAAACAGTTTTCACTTTGTCATTATGGGTTGTTGTGTGTAGAATGTTGAGGAAAATAATGAATTTGATCCATTTTGGAATAAGGCAGTAACATAACAAAATGTGGAAAAAGTGAAGCGCCGTGAACACTTTCCGGATGCACTGTAAATCAGCAGGATTGGTCTCAAATGTATAAAAAAACAAAGTTATTAATATTTCTATACATAAAACAAAAATAAATTAGCCGTTATTGGCCTGTCTATGACGCCCACAGAACACCTAAGGCCAAGAAACATCATCTCCTCAGCCTGAGACAAAAAATGCACATTTCACTTTGGAAGTGGCTTCTAGAAAATAGCCTTCAACAGATACCACACTCTTGTCTGGTGAGAGACATTTGAATGCAAAACAGAGACTTATTAAGACAAAGTTGAAGATTTGTCAATTGCAACAGTGGATACACCATGGAGCACAAGTGTGCAATATATAGGTGGAGTGAGCTAGAGAGGTATAAAGTGTGGTATGTTACGTACAAGCCTTCCTTGTTGCCATCAATCAGAGCCTGGAACAGCGGTTTGTTGTGGGGGATGGTCTGCAATATGTTGCTGTCGTTGGTCACATAGCCAATCGCCCACTGGCCCAGTCGCGTACAACTCAGTCGGAAAATGTAACTTTTATGGAGAGAAAGAAAACATGGTTTAAACACACAACTTTTCAAGCCATGAACAAAAGCCCATGTTTATAACAATACAACTCAATATTTTTGTCAAGTTTCGTCCGGTATTGTATTAAAAACACACGATTCATTTTTGATAAAGCAAGGGTATTTATATTAATATTGAATCAATCAATATCTGATCAAACATTTACTAGTCTTAAACGGACGATTATATCATGTTTAAGCAATTTTATTTATTTGTTTAATGGTGCTATATTATTAAAATTGTTTTACTTTGCACAGAGAGAACACAAAGGCATGAGGTCTAAATTTAAGACAAAGCTTAAGACATTCCTCTTTGAAAACGCTCAGGCTAGCCTGGACCAACCCTGATATAAGCTGCCGTGGGCCTAGACTAACGGGACTAGGACACACTGAGCTCCTCTCTTTCCACTTTCTCTCCTATAAGAATTCACATCTCATTAATGTGCATTACTAATTCAGCTTCTCCCAAGAGTATTTATCTTGCCTTGCAAGTTTCCATGGATCATGGTTATCTGGACCCTGGTCCTGCCATGGCCCTATATATACATATACAGTGCATCCGGAAAGTATTCACAGCGCTTCACTTTTTCCAGTTTTTTGCAAATTTTTGCAAATCTGTTAAAAATAAGGAACGGAAACATGACATGTACATAAGTATTCACAGCCTTTGCCATGACACTCAAAATTGAGCTCAGGTGCATCCTGTTTCCACTGATCATCCTTGAGATGTTTCTACAACTTGATTGGAGTCCACTCGTGCTAAATTCAGTTGATTGGACATGATTGAGAAAGGCACACGCCTGTCTATATAAGGTATCACAGTTGACAGTGCATATCAGAGCATAAACCGAGCCATGAAGTCCAAGGAATTATCTGTAGACCTCCGAGACAGAATTGTATCGAGGCACAGATCTGGCAAAGGGTACAGAAAGATTTCTGCAGCATTGAAAGTTCCAATGAGCACAGTGGCCTCCATCATCCGGAAATGGAAGAAGTTTGGAACCACCAGGACTCTTCCTAGAGTTGGCCGCCCAGCCAGTCTGAGCGATCAGGGGAGAAGGGCCTTAGTCAGGGAGGTGACCAGGAACCCGATGGTCACTCTGTCAGAGCTCCAGCGTTGTTCTATGAAGAGAGGAGAACCTTCCAGCGACTATGGGGCGCCGTTTGTAAAATATATATATATACATACATACATACATATATGTATATATACACACCCATACTCATATTTAATCACAAGAACAATATCGCTGGTAAAAACTGGTTCAATGGTATTGAACCTATAATGTATTTTATTCAGGTGCAATCCTGTGGAACTCCTCTTCAATGGCTCTCATTGGTTTGTGTCCAGGGAACAAAAATGTTTAAAAGATGTTTCAGAGCGACGCACACGTTTCTCACGGCTCTTCATCAGCAGCTTTACTAATATTCTAATGGTTGTAAAGGAAACTGCCGTTTTCAAAAAAAGTAATACACTACACGAAGAATGTGCTCGGATGTGAGAGCATGTCCACAATGAGTGACGTTATTTATATGAGGACAGGTGAGGTCATGTACATATTTGATGGACTGTGAAGAAAAACAATAACGTTCAAACCAGTAGTTATCTGGAAGAGACAATATACCTAATTGGGGTCTCAATATTCTCTCCCAACGTATGTTTAACACCCTGCGAAGTAAAACCGCTTCTCCATCAACAGGATCGTCTAGAAAAGGACGTGTCATGTTCGAGAAAACACTTTAGTCTTAAACGTAACAAAGATCTTATTTTGTTCATATGTGGAAACTGCGCTAAAATACGATACCGAGTACTAGGAAATGAAAGAGCGCTGTGTCATTGGCTGGGCTGCTGTAAGAGGGAGGAGACTGTGAAAGAAACTCAAGGTTTATTGAAGAAAACCTGGTCGGGAGCGGATTATGTTCACAGGCTCAGTTACCATGGTGGCTGACCCTGACCTTTAGTTACCTCCCTTTGTGAAACAGACAAGCCAGAGTTTCCCTCATCTTAGGGTTAACAAACTCTAAGTTTCCACTAAGCCCGCTTCTTGAATTGATTGAGTCAGTGAGAAAGCCTAACAAATATTTTAAAAACACCAACAATTGCATACCTGCCAGGCTTGTCGATGTACTTGTGAAGTCGGGCCTTGACTTCATCATAGGTAAGAAAAGCCATGTAGCCAGGGTGTGTCACTGCAAGGAAATTCCAGTTCCTCAGAATTGTTCCCCACGGCTGTAAAAGATCCCCCGAATTTGTTTTAACTACACATATTACTATGCATAACACGTGTTTTTTGTTTTTTTCTGCATACAAAACGAGCCTCTGAAAATTTGAAAAATTGTCGGTCCCCCTTAAACTGCAAATGTGTTGCGTAAAGAGGAAAAATTAAGAAAATTGTTTTACAATACTAATTCTTAAGTCGCTGACTGTGTATTCGATCAGTACTCCTGCTGCTTTAAACAGACAAACACTGTTGGAAAGCCAAGCTTTTTACTATATATTGGGTATCAAATTATTCTCAGAGATAGAGCGATCTTTCCACAGAGCAGTGCAATTGTATTTATCAAGAAAAGCCTGCCAAACCATTTTGTGACTAAAAATATGGTCTAGGTGTAGCTCTCAAATGGGTGGGCTGAACAATAGTTTTGCTTCCTTTGAATTATCATCAACATATGGTTAAATAAATGGTTGGTCCAAAAAGTTTTACTATTTGGACCATCCACAATGAGGTTTGGCACCCTTTCTTGATTAGTCAGTTCAATTCAAAGAATTGTCTCCCTTCCTCTGAATCAATCTGTAGTTTCAAGAATTTATTCACAATCCATACGAATAAGAATTGGATCATTTCAGCTTAAGGTAATGCGTAAACAATTTTTCAGCAAATGTAGCATCCGATAAAAGCTCTTCCTGCTCCTGACAATACGTAGCCACCCTGAATGACCCTGGTACCATTTCGGTCTGCCATCTTTGAAAGGATGTCTTAGCAGACCAGGGTGAGGCAATATTTAGAGTAGCTCATAGATAGTTTGCCCTTAGTTGCACAGTCTGATATTATCACAAATGTAATATTTGATTCAATGGAAATCTGCTAAGCCATCACTACTCTGAATGTGTGGAAAGTATTACAGCACATTGTACAAGAGGATAACTAGGACTTTAGGAAGAAACCGCTTTCTTACTTTGAGTGTCAATCATAGATTTTAGCGCTTTCCTTTGTCACTGCTTCTTCAGTGTTCCTTGCATTTTTAGGAATTCTTTGTATTAATTTTGCTAATGTGTTTGTGTATTCGAAATAATCTTTTAAGGAACAAATGGGATTGTATGCAGTAATGTCAAAAAACACTTTCCCTGTTTATGTGCTGATGTTCTTCTAGTGCCTATTAAGATTGCAATTCAATCTAATATTAATACCTAATTAGAAAATGCCCAGCATTCTTTATTAGGAGGGGCTAATGATAAATCATATGGGACATGACCTTTGATGGTTTGAGCTGCTCAGTTACACGTGCAAGTATATTGATTGTTAACGCATGTAATTACACTGTGTTCTCAGGAAAGATCACTCTACCCATTTTTTCTTACACATTGAGCGGTTATGTTTTGACTAACCTGGAAGAGGCGTGTGAAAATGTCGAACTCAAACACAGAAATATAGTCGTTGCAAGTAAGGTCAATGGTGGATTTGAGGGCCATAGCCTCCAATCCTGAGCTGACGAGATGAACTTCGTGAAGACACTGTCGGAAGACTTTCCATGGCACTGTTGTCCTGCAAAAAAGAAAAAAATCAGATCATGAATTCGAAAATACAGCAAGTTCCCATATCAGCTATTTTATCAAAGAATACCTATTTTTTATGTACCGTATTTTCCGCACTATAAAGGCACACTTAAAAGCCTTTAATTTTCTCAAAAAACGACAATGCGCCTTATAATCCGGAGCGTCTTATATATGGATCAATTGGTTAATTGGTTGATCCATACTGGTTGTACACAGCGCTCAAGGCGCTCTGCCAAACATGCCAAAGCTCGGTCTACGACGGCGAGATGCTGAGCGGGCGCTCAAGCGCGTGAGATATGGAGCTTGTTTCAGGGCGCGTCAGAGAAACAAAGTGTTCTTCTCGTTCTTGCCGAGCACATAATGAGATTAAAGAGCGAGAGACGGCGCCCTTTTCTTTACAGTAGCTGAACCATCTTAACAGGGAAAATAAGATATTCTAAAAGGGGCCCTTGGCAGGCGGCGTGGCTGGAGAGCAGCCGAAGATTTAAGGCGTGGATGGCGAGGGGGGGCGGCGGGAGCGGACGCACCTCGCAGCATCGATCAGACCCTGAAAGCACCGTCTCCACCTCCCCACACCACCCCCATCCACCGGCCCCGACGTCAAACATTTGACTGCACTATCTTATGCGCCTTATAATCCGGTGCGCCCTATACAGTATATGAAAAATGTTCTAAAATAGGTCATTCATTGAAGATGCACCTTATTACCCGGTGCGCCTTATAGTGCGGAAAATACGGTAAATGTACATTTTGAAATGCACAATTGTGTACACTCAGACCACATAAAGCCTTTTTTATACCTGTATATACAGCACTGTATACAGGCACGTGCACAGACATTTTGGGGGGCAGGTGCTCAAACCAAAATAAAAGGGCACAGATTGCCAAAATTATTTATGAAATTAAAAATATTATGAAATAAATAAAAAACACAGTATATTTTCAACTTGTATATGTATTTTTGTTAAAACTACCTCAATTTATCTAATTGAATAAATAAATGCATAACAGGCAAAAGTTGACAAAACAAGGCCATATTGAGCGAGGCAGTACTTAATCGTTATTTACTGTTTATGACTTCTGAGTTGAAGCATGAGCAGCATTACATTAATAACATACTACAATATACCTCACCAGACTGTCGTGTAGCTCAACTCAAAAATGTAATTAAATCAAATTAAACAAAACTAGTGAACTTGTCTAATTTGTAAAATTAATAAAAATTCTCTGCCTGCCTGCCTGTATCTCTCTCCCCTTCTCTCTCTCTCTCTCTCTTCATTAAGCATCACAAACGTCAATAAACAGCTGGACAAAGCTTTGAAATCACGGACCTATCACAAATACCGTCATTACCTGTTTGTACGATGCTGCAGCCGTTTGACGCTCAGCACTGCACGAGCATCAAGCGGAGGAGGAGGAGGAGGAGGAGGAGGGGGCTTGTGAGCATGTCGGGGCAAAATTCTCACGATAACTCAAATAAATGCCCCGTCAGATATCAAAACACATTTGGGGGGGAATTGATGATAGAGAGAGTAATTTGTATTCTTAAATATTGATGAATAAAGAAAAAACGGTGCTCCAGCAGAAGGAGCACTTTTCTCACCCAGGGCAAAAGGGCAGGTGCTTGAGCACCACTAGGGTCTATCTGTCCATGTGCCTGACTGTATAGATACTCTATTTACATGAAACAAATATAAAGCGCAACAGCTAACCGTGAGTTTGTAACTTTTTGCAGTAAGAGCCAGCACAATACATAGTTTGTATGCTAGAAATTTGTCTGTGACACAAGCATATATCAGGGTAACATTAGAAGAAAAGTTAGTCATAAATCACAGTGCTTTATCCCGCAAAACTCAAACTGACTCGTGTTGCAGACACACAGAGACTGAGGAGTTCATCAACGGGAACTAAGCCAAGGAACCTTAGAAACGGTTTAATATCACTGTCTGCATGATTTGCATGTTTAGAGTTTGTCAAGAGGCATGAGATTCAAGTGGTACTCTCAGGAGTCACATTCACGGGTTTCGGGTCACATGTCTGATTAAAGTCTCAGATTTATACCTTAACTAGATAGTATAGTTTTTTACTCCAACAGACAAACTATATTCGAGAATAGACTGGTCGCTGGTATGAGGTTGCTGCATTTTCTGAAATTCATTACGTAAACATTCTTCCATTTTGTTCAGATCAGATCACAGAATCACATCAAAAGGAGCTACAAGATGGCGCTTAAATGTAACGCTATTAAAAAAATGATTTTTTTACTTATTCCAGGGAAGCCTTTTTTGTTTATATTTCAGAATATGCTGTGACCACTAACCTGCGTATTTTTTAATAAATTAAGAGTTGGAAGTTAATTATTTTTTAAAATGTTTTTTGGTCGAATGCATTGATTAATCAAAAAGTAATAAAAAAACGATTAATCGATTATCAAAATAATCGATAGCTGCAGCCCTACTCTCTTTGGAGTCTAATGACATAAGTTTAGTCAGAGTGACTTAAACCCTAAGAGATTCCATGACGGGGAAGAAAAGGGGAATATCACCGGGATTCCCCCAGACTTTTTCTTGACGTTTTGGGATCTGTTGAGTTTCTACTAGATATGATAAACTGTTAAAAAGGAATTTGTCAGGGTTGGGTAGGAGAAGGCAGGACCCAAACGCAGACGTCGAAAAGCAAAAGGACTTTAATTGACAAAAAGGCAAAAAGCAAAAGGTCAACGGGCAAAAACACACAGGAACTGGGGGGGAAACGGCAGGCAGGTCCTACGAACATCCAGGACGATTGACAATGACGCCACAAGTGACAAACAACACACACTGCTTAAATACACTAGGGAGGTGCAGGTGATTGGACACAGGTGGAAACAATCCGACAATCACAGGGGATGACAGGACCAGGCAGGAAGTGAAGTTACCCGGGGACACGAGTGGCAGAAAACTACAAAATAAGACGGGAAGTGAACCACACCGTGACAGATTTTGTATTTAGAAGACTTTAATTTAGCTTTATTATCAGTATAACCTAAACCTGTTAAAAGATCTTACGCAACTACAGACCCTTGTCCATCCTTACTACAGAGATTAAAGTGCTTGCATGCATTTTAGCATATGACCAGATTAGTTCACTGTGACCAGACTGGCTTTATAAAGACCAGATTGGCTGCTGCTCAATATCTGTTGTATTTTTCATTTGATCATTTAAACCACAAGTGTTCAACTCAAGGCCCGGGTTCCGAATCCGGCCCGCTGGGGGGTCCAGTACGGCCCGCCGGATGAATTTGCTATTGTGAGAATTACAAAAAGACATAAATAGCATTTCTATAAAAGTAGCTGCTATTCCTAAAAAGTGAGTGATTCCATCGTTAGACCAGGGGGATACGGTCGTTCACTAACGAAGTGCCGGTAGATAACCTGCCATTGAAGAACAAAAAATCCCGTCAGGTCACTGCTCAAAGAGCAGTGGAGAAGTGTGATGTGAGGGTTTCGGGACAAGGCAAGCTGGACATAACTGTAAAGTCTTCTCGGAGAAATTTGTAATTTGGGGTTATACAAAAAAAAATTAAACCTAAAACAAGAACCTTCAAAACTTTCTTGGGGGGGGGGGAGAAGATGAAGCCTGAGGGAAACCCTGCGTGCCATCAGCTACCAACATTCATACACCATAGTCACAGATATGGGAGCTACGTGGGGTTAAGTGTCTTGCCCACAGACACATTGACATGCAGGCTAGCGGAGCCAGAGATCAAACCGCCAAACAGTAATGACGGAATGATTTTCGTCATTACTGTTTCTGTTAACATGAAGGAAATGTGTTCTAAATTATTATATTGTCATTTGCACAGGCTTGATTAAGTAAATACAGGGACTGCGTGATGACAGGGATTGGTAGCCAATGGGAAATGCTGTAATTTCCACATGTCAATATAGTTTTACTTTGAATTAAGAGTTCCACTGAGCAGAACTGATGTCCCACCGTGTTTTATTCCTCCGTAAATATACTTGGGCTAGAACTGGGTATTCACGCTATAATCGCTGAATAGCTTACAACTGTTAAAAGTTTCAATTCAATTCAGTTATTATTGTTTAATGTTGTGATATTGTCAGCTGCTTCACAATAACACGTGATTTGCACAGACATGGAGAGTGAATTTGTAAATACAGAGCAGGAGAAATACTAACAGACATTTGCTTATTTTGCCTTTTTTTCCAGCTTTTTAAAAATAAACGATGAATAAGAAGGAGGAAACATTATTTCTTTCTTTCATACTGAATACTTCACAATACAAAAGAGCAATCTGAATTTCAAAACATTCCATCAGATCCAAAACCAGAGTGGACAAAGGCTATAAACTCCCTGACAGACATGTAAGTTACTTAGCCCAATTTGCCCAAATAAAGTGTCATGTGTGGTCACTGGCAACTGGCACCCAGGCCTGCCTATCCTTCAAGCTAAAAACACATTTTTCTTAGTCTGCCACAGTTTCTTGGAGTTGCTCGTTGCAGAGCATCTCTGCCTGATGTCATGATATTGCATAGTTGAATGAATATTTGTTTACCATTAAGAAAGGCATAGTATCATGGAGATGAAAAAACAGCACACGGCCTGAAAACACTGACATCATAAAGATCCTGACATCAAAGATTAGGTTCTTGATTCTTCAAAAAAATGAAGCATCAACTCAAAGCTGCAAAAAAAGAAGCCAATAGGAGGTGAAGCTTACTGTACTCCAAAAGACTTCCTCCAGAACTCAGCCGCATCAGCTTTGGTGATCCTAAAAGAGTCTCCCTGGAAGTGTCCGCCCGGAAAGATGGCTTTGATTTCAGCAAGCATGTGACTGAAGATCAGAGATAGCTTGGTCAGGTTCCTCCTGCAGAAAAGAGGCCAGAAGAGGGAAGAAAACTTAATCATTTTTATTTTATAGCATATGGCAATCATTTCCCTTTTAAAATTCTAGATGTATTTAAAATGTCTGCTGACTTGTTTACAGGGATTGGTAGACACAAATCTCAAAAAATGGTAGGGGAGCAGGACTTTTGGTCAGCACCAAAGTGCTTCTGGAAGACCATCTGGCACCTCAGGAGGGGGAAACTGGGAACTATCCAAGCTGTATACAGTAAAGATGGGACCCTGTTGACCGCAACTGAGGAGGTTATCGGGCAGTGGAAGGAACACTTTGAGGAACTCCTGAATCAAACTACTACGCTCTCTTTGAAAACATGCTCCAAAGCGCTCTGGACCTCAGACTGGGGCGACGGTTCATCTTCCAACAGGACAACGACCCGAAGCACACAGCCAAGATAACAAAGGAGTGGCTTCGGCACAACTCTGTGAATGTCCTTGAGTGGCCCAGCCAGAGCCCTGACTTGAACCCGATTGAACATCTCCGGAGAGATCTGAAAATGGCTGTGCACCGACGCTCCCCATCCAACCTGATGGAACTTGAGAGGTTCTGCAAAGAAGAATGGGAGAAACTGCCCAGAAATAGGTGTGCCACGCTTGTGGAATCATACCCAAGAAGACTTGAGGCTGTAATTGCTGCCAAAGGTGCTTCAACAAAGTATTGAGCAAAGGCTGTGAATACTTATGTACATGTTATGTTTCCGTTCTTTATTTTTAACAGATTTGCAAAAATTAACAAAAAACAGTTTTCACTTTGTCATTATGGGTTGTTGTGTGTAGAATGTTGATGAAAATAATGAATTTAATCAATTTTGAAATAAGGCTGTAACATATCAAAATGTGGAAAAAGTGAAGCGCTGTGAATACTTTCCAGATGCACCGTATGTGGGATAAGAATCGCGACCTTAAACTGCTTGCACAAAACTCTTGATCAGCACTCAGCATTTGTTTATTGTTGTCGTTCATTTAAACCGCTTCGCGCAGAGAGCACGGCGGTGTGGTAGAGAGAGAGAGAGAGACAGAGCGAGTGCATATGTGCGAGCGAGAGATCTGCGGTGTTGGCCGTTAATTTACTTAATTTTATGTAGGTAGTATGATGTTAAATATGTTTCAACTTAACTAAATTACCTATACAAGTAGTTATTAATTTGTCCTGTCATTGATGTGTCGAATGCACAACCAGATATTCAAAAAAATTCAAATTTTTTTAAGCGAATATTCGAACGTCCTTTTTGAGAAATTTTGACAGCCCTAATCACCTGTAAGTGTCGCCAAAGAATGAACAGCTGTAGAGAAGGGCGTACGACAGCCCTGAAGTTGGCGTGAGGCGCCGCACATTTCCAGGGCCATTTTGCTCTTGATACATCTGATCGTTGACGTGAAAAAGTGCGTTCGCCACTTTTTTGTGCGTACGCACACTTTGTACATGAGGCCCCAGGAGAAGGTGCATGACGATGATGAAGGGGTCATCCAATCCCTGCACGCCCAAAGCGAGAGCTGTGTTCGGCTGCTCTGCAGTAAGTCGGAGGCGTTTCCAGTGGGGGTTGGCCTTCGCCAGGGCTGCGCCTTGTCACCAATCTTCTTTGTGGTTTTCATGGACAGGATATTGAGGCATAGTCGGTGGGAGGAGGGTCTACAGTTCTGGGGGCTGTGGATTTCATCGCTGCTTTTTGCAGATGATGTGGCCCTGAAGGCATCTTCTGTCTGTGACCTCTAACTCTCGCTAGAGCGGTTCACAGCCAAAGGGGGAGCGGTTCGCAGCAGTGTGTTAAGCGGTTGGGATGAGGATTAGCACCTCTAAATCTGAGGCCATGGTTCTCAGCAAAAAAATGATGGATTGCCTACTCTAGGTAGGGAATGTGTCCTTACACCAAGTGAAGGAGTTCAAGTACCTCTGGGTCTTGTTCACGAGTGAGGGGAAGATGGAGTGTGAGTTTGGCTGGAGAATCGGAGCACCGGGGGCAGTATTCCACTCGCTTTACCGCACCGTTGTGACGAAAAGAGAGCTGAGAAGTCAAAGGCAAAGCTCTCGATCTACCGGTCAATTTTCGTTCCTACCCTCTCATATGGTTGCTCTAAAATTTAAAATGTTAGCCAATAATGATCCCTCTCCTGGATTGTCAATGTGTGTGAGAGAAGTAGCTAGCTGGGCGCCTCCCTAGGGAGGTGTTCCAGGCACGGCCAGCTGGGAAGAGGCCCCGGGGAAGACCCAGGACTAGGTGGAGAAATTATATCTCTGCACTGGCCTGGGAACGCCTTGGGATCCCCCAGTCAGAGGTGGTAGATGTGGCCCGGGAAAGGGAAGTTTGCGGTCCCCTGCTGGAGCTGCCCCCGCGACCCAACCCTGAGTAAGCGGTTGAAGATGGATGGATGTATAGGGGCTAAAAATTATTAGAACACTTCTGGACTTAGGCATATTTAAGAGATTTCAGTTATTTGTGTTGAATTGGCCATTAAACTAATGAAATATCAGTCATCATTATGCTGTATAAATCATAGAATAGAGCCATAATAAGGATATTTAGGTCATTTTCCTTACAAAAAACAAGCTAGGCCTATTTCACTGTGACGGACCAGGGGCCTCATGTACAAAGACCTGCGTGGATTTCTTACTGAAACATGGCGTACGATCAAACCCAGACTTTTGGCCCTGATGTGGCGTGGGGGCCGGGGCATGAACTGAGAGGGTAAATCATGACTGACAGCTCAACAAATAAGTCTTCCTCAACGACGTTGTCTTTAAGAGACGTAGGCAGAAGTAGGATTCTACTTGCCGTGAATCACAGAATAAGAGCAATCAACGATGTTGCTAATGTTGACAGACCGTGCAATTCGTCCAGCACGCAGACCAGTCCGTATTGATAAAATGATGGTTCATTTGGGTTGTAGCTGGATGTCAACATCACTACGGTTACAAAGAAGTCTTGTTTATGTTTTAACATGCTTCGCTGACGAGCTATTGAACCGGGAAGTCCGAATCTGTCCTCAGCCTTATCGTCAGCCTTTTTTCCTCATTTGCTTTCACTCATTATTACACGCCCCTCTCAGTTGATTCCCCCGCCACCTACGCCATCAGAGTCAACGTAAAAATAAACGATCCGAAAGTGAAAAATGGATCTGCAACAGACAAGACAACAGTGCACAGGTAATAAAATAAAGTGGAATAAAATGCTAATGCAATGGGTTAGTAAGAATAAGGCTAAGGCTATGGGTTAGTAAAAAAAACAAGGGAATAAAGTTAAACAAATTTTAAATATTAAAAAGTTAAAAAGAAAAGTATTAAGCATAAAGTGCACTAACAAACAAGTAACAGACAAGAGACAAAGTGACAAGTGACAAAGTGATGAATTGCAGTTAAAGTGGCATGTGCAGTGTGATTACTGGCGTCATTACTGGCGTTGCGCCACGCGATTAACGATTACTGACACGCAGGCTTTTCCAGCGGCCCCAGGCATTCTCGGCCAAGCTGAAAGCAGCAATGGACGGATCCTTGATCCGTCCATTGCTGCTTTCAGCTTTCATTTGACATGTCTTTTTTGAAGTCTTTTTAATAACTTTTTCTTCATGTTTAAATCAATCTTGTAAATGTTTTAAAATCTTCTTGCTTTGTTTGGATTTTTTTGTGGTTATGTGAAGCACTTTCAATAGTCTCGTTGTTGATAAGTGCAATGTGCTCGATATGCTTGCTATGCGCCGTTGATGGCCACCACGGTGCTTCGGTGCACTTCGTTTTTTGTTGTTTTTGTTGTTAATTACGTTTGCTACTGCGATTCCCGGAGCTCTTTCACCAGAGATGAGCTCTTGAACATCCGTGGAACAACTCCAGCGGACTTACTTCCAACTTTCCTGCTTTCTTCCGTGGAATTACTGGACATTATAGTCAAAGGTGCGCTCACCTTTCGTCACGCGGTGAGACGCCGTAGGAGAGGAAAACGGGCCGGCTCGCTGGTGAGACTCCGCAAGCGTGGTTCGCACTCCGCTGCCAGGCATCTTTCTCTCCAACGTGCGCTCGATGTGCGGATCGATACCTGACTCCGCGCTCCAGCTGGCGGACTTCCAGCTGCTCCGAGCGGACCGCGACACGGAGCTCTCCAGCAAGACAAAGGGTGGAGGAATCTGCTTCTACTTCAACAACAGCTGGTGCAACGACGTAACGGTGATCCTAAAACACTTTTCTCCTGATCTGGAAACTTTTTTCATCAACTGCAAACCCTTTTATTCCCCCCGTGAGTTCGCTTCATTCATCCTGGTCGGTGTTTACATGCCGCCGGCGGGCAACGTGCACGAGGCACAGGCACTCGCCGACCAGATATGGCGTGTGGAGCGGACCAACCCGGACTCTTTATTGTCCTCGGGGACTTTAACAAAGGAAATCTCACCCATGAACTTTCTAAATACAGACAGTTTATTAAATGCCCCACCAGAGAGGAGAACACGCTGGATCACTGTTACACCACAGTAAGCAGGGCTTATCACGTCGTCCCCCATGCTGCACTGGGACACTCTGACCACGTCATGGTCCATCTGATTCCTGCATACAGGCAGAAACTAAAGCTCTGCAACCCTGTGGTGAGGGAATTCAAGAAGTGGACCAGTGAGGCGCTGGAGGATCTTCGGCCGTGCTTTGACTGCACAGACTGGGATGTTTTCAGGACTGCTACTGACTGTCTGGACGAGTTCACAGAGGCTGTAACTTCCTACATCGGCTTCTGTGAGGACAGCTGTGTACCATCATGCACCAGGGTGAGTTACAACACCGACAAACCCTGGTTCACAGCGGAACTCAGAACACTACGCCTGCAAAAGGATCAGGCATTTAGGAGTGGGGACAAAGACTTGTACACAGAGGCAAAATACAAGTTTAGCAAGGAGGTGAGAGATGCTAAACGACTGTACTCTGAGAAACTCCAACAACAGTTCTCAGCAAGTGACTCTGCTTCGGTTTGGAGAGGCCTCAAACACCTCACT